AAGCACAGAATATACCATCATAAATCTTCAGAATACCTGTGTGGGATTTGGAGGTGAAAAAGATGGGGGTGGACCCATTGCCTCCAAAACAGAGATGTCTTAAATGACAACTAATTAGGGAAATGAGATGTGTTGGGCTGAAATGCACAGATACTGCAGCCTTGCTGTAAACCACAACACAATTTGCCAAACAAATTTTTTTAAGGGTGCACAGAAAAAAAAAATATTGTGGAAATCTGCAAGGAAATATGTATGCACACTGGATGACAATGCACAAGTATAGTGTTAGTAAAGCACTTTTTCGTAGATGAACATGTCAGTGTTAATAATACATCAACAATACTACACATTGACAATTATAAAATGTGGGCAAATGAAAATAGTCCCAATTAAAATAAAATGGCACTAAAATGTGTATTGTTAATTCTTCTACTCCAACAAGCATGCACATTGATGTCATCAAGCAATGTCAGAATGTGATATTTCATTTTTTTTTTTTTCAAACTTCCCATGTGGGTTCCAGGACCCCAAATTAAGGTGGAAAAAAGACCCATTTCCCCTAACAAGCATGTCATAACGAAAAAAAGATCCATTTCCCCTAACAAGCATGTCATAACAGTCAACTAATCAGGGATTTTTCCTTCAAAGTCAGAGTGCAGCTGCCTCGGAGGTGAGGAATCAATAGTCTGCACACAAATAAGCCAGATCTGTAAAATGGATGTGCACACAAAAACTTGGATTCTGGATTCTTTTAGAAGTGGATGAACAACCAGAACTTTCCACCACAGTTTACAGTCAGTGAACACTAAAAAGCAAATAGAAGATTTTTGTTCTAGTATTCTCTTTCTCACAAGTGACTCCTAGTGTCTAAGCCTCTGTCCAAACATTTCTGTCACTCCTGCCTTCAAGAAGCCCTTAATGTGGCATAGCTGAAAATTCTATTGCTGAGTTGTTGTACTGCATCAAACCTCTCTAGCAACCTTACTTTGATTTCTGGAAACAAAACTTATAGGTACAGGCAAATATAATATAGAAATGAACATTGGTAACCAGAGATATTAAATATCTTAGAAAGGCTGTATGACCTGAAGAGACCAAATCAGGAGTTGGTTCAGAAAAAAAAGTCAGCCTAGAACTAATACCAAATAACAAACAAAGACAGCAAATAAATGGTATGTCCCTTAGAAAGAATGCTTTGTGACATCATACTGTAGGGGCAGAATGAGGTACAGAGCATGAAGTAGATTAGAATATGATAAAAAGATTGCCTGCGTTTGTTTCAAGGCCACATGGTGGAAGAAAAAGAACCGACCCCCTGTCCTCTTACATGCATGTCATAAAAGGAAACTAATTAGGAATGTTTCCTTCGAAGTCGGAGTACAATCTGCCTGAGAGGTAATAAACTCAAGTTCTAGAACAAGACAAAAGTCCAGAAGTGGAGGAACAACCAGAACTTTTCACCAGACTTTACAGTCGGTGAATGCTAAGAAGGAGAAGATAGAAAGATAACACCAGAGAAGCACATCAACTGTCAATGATCACAACAGCAAAAACTATAGCCTAACAGTGAAGGTGAGCTCATATATCATTTTCACTACAAATAGTAAGTCCTTGATATAGTCTGCCTGAAAGGAAAAAAAACATTAGGTTCTAACCAGTTTTCTTCTCTATCGTGCTATTCACATGTATTTTTTTTTAATTTAAAAAAAAAAAAAAAAAATTTTTTTAAATCCTGTATCCACTGTCATTTAGCTCCCCGCTGCCTCACTTTGTAGAATCCATGTCTTCCATTACTGAACTTTCTAAGATATTGTGATCAATGCCAGGTTTGTCAGTGTTTGGACTGGTTTTAAGTTCGTGATTAAGCTTCACAAATGATTTATGTCCCCTTGCCTCAATGCTAGATAATTCCAACCACAGGTGTCTGCATGCCTAGGGATATGTATCCATTGGTCCACCTTTTCGTTACTTGCAAATATTCTGTCTTCTGTATTTTTCTTTAGCAATTTACTATTTAACTACAGTGCCTTTTATTTCATTGTGGAGCTGGCACTTAAAGGACTGCCTGATTTTCTACAGAATATAGCAGCCAGTCTCATGCCAACCCTCATTAGGTTATAATGTTACTCTTTGCTTCACCTATAAGCCCAGGATCACACAGATGACTGTGGGCCCAGGATCACACAGATGACTGTGGGCCCAGGATCACACAGATGACTGTGGACCCAGGATCACACAGATGACTGTGGGCCCAGGATCACACAGATGACTGTGGACCCAGGATCACACAGATGACTGTGGGCCCTAGATCACACAAATGACTGTGGGTCTGAGATCACACAGACGACAGTGGGACTGGGATCACATAGTTGACTTTGGGTCTGGTATCACACAGATGACTGGGCCCAAGATCTGACTATGAACCCAAGATCACAAAGACGACTCTGGGTCTGGCATCACACTGATGACTGTGGGCCCGGGATCACACAGATGACTATCGGCCCAAGATCACACAGATGACTGTGGACCCAAGATTACATAGAGGATTGTGGGCTTAGAATCACATAGATGACTATGGGCCCAAGTTTCTATGAGGATTGTGAGCCTAGGATCATTCAGATGACTGTGGGTCCAAGATTACATGAAAGATTTTGGGTCTAGGATCATACAGATGATTGCGGGCCTAGCATCACTTGATGTTCAATATGCCATAAATGTTTCTTCCCAAGTTGTTTTATTCCTTATGAGAGATATGGTACTTAATGGATCAGAGAGATTTTCATGGAAATTAGCTGAGAAGATTTCATATTTTTATTATTTTAGCTGATTTTAAGCAATGCATTCAAGTGCTGCACATCCATGTAGAGATGCCTTCCCTAAGTTGCTGCAGAGCTGAACAACTAACACTTATCTTAACAACCATTGTTTATCTAAACACTACTAAATAAGAACAACACAGCTAATTACTACTAATTTAGCCGGGCATTTTTCTCCCAAACGACATAGACTACATCAACAGTAAATATATAAAAAGGGGTAACAATATTTTTAAAAAAAGTAAAAGTCCTTTTTCCATGCCTATAGACATATAGGGCTAGACCTATATTTTTATAGACCAATGGGCATAAGATAGGTGATGTGGTCAGCATCACGCCGGGTAACAATATATTAAATATAACTGCAGTGCAGCTCTGTGGCTTAAAGGTCAGTGAACTCGCTTCACAATCTTACATGGGCAAACAGTTTTCAAACAGAGATGTTATCATGGATTGTGGACAGTGTTAGCAGAACTACACCGAGAAAGAGACTGGGGCTTCACCAAGTAATTTTCTCAAAGACTCAGTGGATTCACATATCTACTGCAGCCAATTTCCACTGTGGAGATAGCACATAAAAAGGGAAAAGAAAAGGTAATAAAACATATTCTTGAAATCTTTTACAATAAAGTCATAATCAAATTAACAGTTTATATTTTATATCAAGAAACAGTCAACAACATTAAATGTCAGTATATAATCCTGGTGATAAGTTTTTTTGATTGTGCTTATTAAAAACAATACCTGGAATGCATTTTTTAAGAAGGATAACTAAAAACTGATTTAAAAAACAGTAAAAACATACACATATGATAGCATACGTGTTTAAGGAAGATATGAAATGAACATTTTAGCTTTCAACAATAAATAGATCAGCCTGACTAAAGCTTCCAAGCATTTCTCATCATGAGGTCAAAATAAGCATCGTTATCAATAGAAGCGCTGACTCCAGCGTAGTAATTCTCAAACTCTTCAAGTGTGACCTGGAAATAAATATCAGTTCACAAGCAACATATTTTCAAGTGGAAATGTTTCATTAAAACAGCTAATGAATGTCATGAAGTAATGGTCGGTTTGAGCCATCAGGGATAGACAAGAACAGTAACTGCTGCACCCTCCCAAGAATTTCAAGAACGTGACTAATGACAGAATAAGGATTTTGGTTGGGTACCTCATTTCCTAAACACCTGAGCTGCACAAGCCAAACAACTATGAACCACAACAATTTATTCTGGTGGCTGCAAAGAATACAGGTTGTTAAATTATATGCCATCATGACTAATTTTGAATTCTGAAAGACAAATTACAAACTAAAAAACCAAAACAACCTTCCAAAGAACTTGCACACATGTCTACCACTAAAAACAGCACAAGTTATTAAAAGTAAAACTGGCACATTTCTGAAACAGAAGTAAAATCCTCTGAGGAAAACATCAAAAAGCATACAACAGAAAACAGACGGAGAGAAGCAACAGCTCAAACACAATAAATTTGAAGAGATTAAACCTCTAAAAATAGATAAGCAATCAAACTGAATGGAAGATCAATTTTGTTTCCTCATGTCCTAAAGAAATGACTACTCATTGTATACATGTGAAGAAACTGTGAAATAATACCAAGATGAGTTTATAAATTTAAAAAAAACACAAAAACAAAACACCAGTTTTTCTCACAGACTGATACACCACTCATATGAATATTATCTACAAAAGGAGCCATTTTGTGCAGTAGAAGCAACCAGTGAACCAATGATGCAAAACACAAAGCAAACAACAGTGGATTATAGTAATCATATCCTTGCATACAAACAAGACTACAATCTATTATGGATTAGGATTGAGGGGGGTAGGGGGGGGGGGGTTGTTTGGAACAAAAGAGTTAAATATAAAATCTGTTAATAACAATATTTGGGAATTTCTAAATTCACTAGCTATAAATTATAAATACTATTTCAAATGCTACAGAAAAACTAAAAGACCAAAGCAAAAGCAGTGATCACAATACTTGTTTACTGCAAGTTTTCACAACTATAGTAAATTAAAGTGTTAACTATGATCAGTCTAGAACTGATTTCATAATATCTAAAGCAAAACGAAATTTGTGAACATAAACTTCACCTAATAAAATAAGAATTTGCTACATCTCACTAACTGGAAAAAGAAAAACATGCAGAAGAAAACATACCTTTCCATCTTTATCTTGGCTGTCAAATGAATCGAGAAACAGTCGAAACACCTGATCCTTTGTCCACTCACCACTAAGGTATTTGGGATGTTTGTCAGCACAGTATACACCTTTCAAATCATCTATTGTGATGACCCCATCTCCGGTCTTGTCCAGTTTATGGAAAGCTTGGTATATCAAATTCTTTCTATTTTGATTCATTGGAGGCTGTAATTAATTGAATATAAGACAAACATTTATGCTTTTTGTATTTCAAATACATAACACATACTACAATGTAATGATAATAGCATTTTAACCCAGTTGCCCCTAGAACACCCCCAAAAAAATTGGTTTACCAACAAACAAAAAAGTTGAAGGTTCATGTGTAACGGTTATAATAAAAGATAGAAAAACTTGTTCCCTTTAAGAATTGTAGCTCGAAAGATTGACACACAGTAAGTTACAGTAACCGTTGACTCAGAGTAATTATTTGTATGTTAATCCACTTAGTACTTACTTAATTACTTATTTAGTCGCTCCTCTTCTACCTTGGGGTGTAGATGTTGGCCAGAGAAATCACCAGACTTCTCTGTCTGCAGTTTTCTTTCTGGTCTAATTCTATTCCAGTCTTATGTCAGTTATGGAATGTCGAATGTTTTCTTTTTAGCAGACCCTGGAGGTCTGGTTCCCTGGTTCTTAGCCTCCCATGCCCGCCTTGGTGGCCGATTGTCTCCCATTCTGCATACATGTCCAAACCATCGTAACTGTGACTGATCCACTCGGGTTTGTAAGGACTGGGTATCAAAATCTCGACGTATTGTCTGATTGCGGACTTTGTCCCTTCTAGTCACTTGGGCCACCTTTCTCAGATATCTCATTTCCGAGGCCTGCAGCTGGCTTCTGTGAGTTGTTGTCATTGCCCATGACTCATACCCATAGGTCAGGACTGGTACATAGGTAGAGTGGTAAACAGCCATTTTTGTATTTGAAACCAACTGGAACAAATTGCAGAAACTTCATTTTTTTTGTGTAAAGTGTTAATGGGGCACCCAATGGTTAAGCAATAACCTACTGTCCAGTGTGGGTGGATATCTTCTTCTTCTTTTTTTCTCTACTTCTGAAATGCTTCGTGGTGTCAAGGCAGGAAGAGATCTCTGGAACGGGCCCTTCTGTTCACTTCGTATAAAGTAATTTTTAGTGTCTCTGATAGTATTGCGGTCCATCTTCTGCAAAGTCACTCTCTGGTTCTGTTACTGTTGCACTTGTATAACATTTACTCTCTGTGATGCGTGTATGATGTCAATATTTGGTCGACTAATACTAAAAAATGGAGAGGTAGCAGAAACCCCTTTCAGCTGTTAGGCCATATTTATGGCCCGGCTATATTCAGGGCCCCCAGGGTGGGGCTTTAAATTAAAAAAAAAATTGCATCCCACATGGAGATGACTAAAGTATAATTATTGTTTGTGTCCACATTGTTTGAATTTACAACAGGAAAACATTGTTTTGAATTAAGGTTAGAATGTTAGAATTTGAATCTCATGTTCTTGTCTGAAACGCTTTTACAATGCAGGCTATGTCTTCTTCTTCTTCTACGTGTTAATCGGTTGTAAACTCCGGCAGAAAGTTATCGTTGCTCCTCCACTTCTGGACTTTTAGTCTTTTTCAAGAGCCTGAGTGTTGTGTGTGCATCCATTTTAGAGATATGACTCATTTGCATGAAGCTGTTGGTTTCTTGCCTCTCAGAAAGATGCACTCCAACTTCGAAGGAAGCTCCCAATTAGTCAACTCTTACGACATGCTTTTGGGTAGCCAGTAGGTCTGTTCTTGTTTTCCCTACAACAGAGCCTCAGAATCCATATGGGGAGCAGTCTATGTTTATGTGTCTGTATCTGTAATCAGTTTCAGCATTTTTTTTTAAGGTTTTTTTTTATGTTATTGCCAATGATTCACTTACACCAAGTCAACTTACTCGTAATCGTACTAAAAACTCATCAAAATCAATGTGTCCATTGTTGTCTTTGTCAAATATTTGGAACAGCTCATCAATCTGTGCCTTGTCAAATTCAACAAGTCCATAATCGTGAATTCCTTTGGCAAATTCTTTCTTATCCAAGGTTCTACTTTCATCATCATCCATAATTTTGAAAGTCCTAATGGTAAATAAAATATCAAAATGTACATATGTGTTACAATATGTTATATACATTTGCAAATTCCTGTTATAAAGTTTGAAAGTTGTGGTTATCTATAAACATCACAGGAAAGGATGAGGGAAAAAAGGAAAATGGTAAGAGGCCAGTGAGATAACAACTGATTCAAGCAGAAATAAAGTAAGAATGTAAGAATATAGAGTTTATATTGTTTGGATAATGAAGAACAATAGGATTTTAAACTTTAACTTGTTCTCATGTAAGAATAGGTTATTTTAAGTAATCAATGTTTACATTTGAGGAGTTAAACTAATAGTACTACAGGACATGAGGAGCTGATGTAAGAAGTGGGGTTTTGTTGTGAGTGTAGTTACTGGATAGGTCATAAGAAGTTCAAAAAGGGTGATCATATCGGTTAAAACCAAGTAATACATGGTGAGGTGTTTGGTAATGAATGAGTTAAACTCTTCTTCTTGTTTTAAAATAACTGTTTCACAAAGGGATTACTGAAGAACTGTCTAAAATTATCATCAATGTCAGGTAGTAAATCAATTAAATAATAAATAAAATAAAAAATATTCTAAAATATTCTAATTTCTTGTCTAAACAGGAAGTTGAATAAGAACATGCTTAGGTGGAAATTTGATTTGATTAGATTCAAGAACTGACATCACAGCACTCGGGGCATTCCCATAAGCGCCCCGCCCTGTCTCTGTCTTCAGCAGCCAGCGAAGAGTTCCGGTACTAATGGTGCTAGTAGCTTTCTGATTAAACGTCCGTCTTGCCTTTCCTCTGAGCCTTGAGCTTCTGCCAGAACCTCTAGTCATCTCCAACTGCATCAATCTCACCAGACTGTGGTGATCCATCTGCTCCTCCGAATTGTACACGCTCTCCCACAAGGCACTAACCCCGTCTGCCCTATCATGTAGCAGTATTCCACCAAGTTGTGCAGAGCCAGCCAGTCTGTCCGCCTGTTCATTTTCCAACACACCGGCGTGACACGGTTAAAAAATCCAGACAATACTCCTCATTCGTGTCCTCCGCAGCGAAGCATGCCACTCTGCACGAAGCATACCTGTTCTGATCTTCCTCAGCATGCTTTCTAAATCAGTTACAATTACAATGTGTGTGTGTGTCATTTTCTCTAGCCAGCAGAAAGCTGCAGTGACCGCCTCCACCTCCATTCTTAAGCTGGATGTTGTGGTATCATATGCTAGGCTCTCCTGCACCAAACGTCGACCATTAACTTTTGCTAAAAAGCCCCAAGCACTTCTTTTGCCTCTTGACACTGAACCGTCTGTGTAAATGATCAAATCCACTGAACGAGCATTATCTTGAATTAATTACTGAATTTCCACCTCTGTGGCACCTGCTGGCCAGTCTCTGCATTCCCGGCTCAGCGTGATTATGACTCTACACAAGTCTGACTGCTCAGGTGGCACTTTGACCCACTCCTCTCCTCGCCTAATGTTCTCAAGGATGCAAACCTGTCTGATTGTGTCTTCTGCCTGAGCCATCCATGACCTCCCTCTTATTAGCCGCTGACCCTTAACTGCACCCATAGCTTCATGCAGAGGGTGGTCTGTGTCTGCAGCTACCCTGAGATATGACTTCGCCTGCAGCACCTTGTGCCTACCTGCAACCGGCGGCAAACCAAGGATGTATCGCATACACACCACTGGGGTGTCTCTGGTGCAACCCAGAATGACCCGCATAGCCGCGTTCTGTATGCGCTCTAGTTTGTCCATCTGACTCTTTGAGACGGTAAGCAGTCCCAGGCCATAATCCACCACTGACAGGATCAGGTGCTGATATAGTGTGAAAAGCTTAGGTGGAAAAAAATATAGTTGTATGAAACAGACGGAGTAAATGAAAATTTACCAGAGCAGAGTAGGTGCAGAAATAGTCAATACTATTTAACAGGATAAAATATGGGAGATGACTTTATTTAATTTTTTTTTTAACTTGAAGAAAATTCTTGAAAACTGATACCACAATTTAGAAAATAATTCAAAACTTAAAATCAGAAGCAGGATAAATTAGGTACAATTGTTGCGAGTTAATAAAATCTAGAACAATGTCTTAAATTCATCTGCACAAAAGGACAAAGAAAATAAATATCCTCATCATCAAATGTCTTGCCAACTGGCATGAGCGATTATGCCTATCTCCAACCTGCGACCAACATCATGTATCAGTTCCCGTGCTGCCATCCCTTCATGCCATGACTACAGGCTGTCAAAACTGTTTTCATGTTATCCTCCTCTATCTCTTTTTCCAAAAATCTTTTCAGTGATCACAAAATGTCCCTAATTCCCTCTTCTCATAACATGGTCAAAAAATGATGAACGTCTCTTTCTGATGTCTGTAATAAGCTGTCTTTGGACCCTTGTCTCTTTCAAAATATCTGGGTTACTCATTCTGGCTGTAAAAAAATTATAAGGTTCTTCAGTAAAGCTACATCTCTGAGAGGTTAATAAATTGTTTGGCTTGTTTACTGATAGCCCAGGATTCACAGCCGTATGTTAAAAGTGGCTTTATACAGCATGTAAGAATTATTTTTCTAACCCTCCGTGACAAGGATTTATTGCATAAAATGTTATTCATTTTATAAAATTTTGTTTTTGACTGTCCAAGTCTGTTCCTTATTTCTGTGATACATCTTCCATCTTATGTCAATACCTGTGCCTAAATACTTAAACCTATATAGTGAGTTGTGTATCTTTACAGGACGTTGCAGAACCAACTCCAGCATTTTTTTGTCTGTTGTGGTTTTTCTAGGGAAATTTACATCCAGTAGTTTGCCACTACTTTCTAAACAGTCGGCTTCTCGATACCTCTGTCAAAATCAATGCAAGGCACAAGGCCCGCAGCTGGGATCGAACTCGCACCCCTGAATTACGAAGCGTGTTCATAATGCCTTAGCCACAGAAGCCAACTAAACCTATATACTTGTCCCAAAATAATGCCACATTTAGGAACAACTGTTTTCTTTGATATTACCTTCACTTCTGTCTATTCCTTGTCAAGTTGAGGCCCACTCTTTCAACTTCTACCACTTACATATCTTATCACTTCCAGTAGTTATTTCTGACTTGTCGCTGTCAAGACGTTATTATCAGCATAATACAGATATTATATTATGACTACCCACTATGATTCTAGGTATTTTGTATTTGCATTGTATAATTTAAAAAAATTAGATGACAGTATATAAACTTGTTATACGCCTCCCCCCCCCCCCCCCCCCCCCCTCCTTTTTTTTGGGTGCTCTGAAATGATCCTAAACTGTTGTTAATTTAAATAGCTGCTATTTGCTGACAATACATGTTCTTTATAATTCCAAGACCCCTTCCATTAATGTTTTTCTCTCTAATAATTTAGTGATTTCTTCATGTTTCATAAATAAACACCTGGAAAATAAATGAAAAACCGATTGCTCTCCATATAAATAAGCAGTATCACACATGAATGTAGGTTTAAAACATTTAAATACATACAGACATTAATTCAAGTTAGAATTTAAAAAATAATTAGGGCTTTAATTTCATAAAGATATTTTTAAAAATAAAGAAGTCGCAGAGAGATTTACAATAAATAGAAAAGTCTGGGCGTGTGTCATGATGAAAATGATTTTTGTTCAAAAGACCTGCTAAGTAATAATGATAAAATTTAAAACAAAATCACAGTACCAACCATACAGATTTTACACTGAAATTAGTACTGCTGTCTGGATCAATTATAAGGAAAAATCAAATACTAACGAAACAGAAACATTTTGTTAATTTATATCTCCAGAGAACAGAAGGACTAAAATGATTGGACAAAACAACCAGTGTTGAGCTTATTCTTTGGAATCAAGCACTTAGACCCATATATTTGCACTTGTAGTAACACACAATGGGAAGAGAAAAAAACAGGTTATACTGTAAGCTTGAAACTGGAACCTGCAAGACTAAAGAAATATATGCAAAAGTAAAGGTCCCTCTTCCACGCCTTTGAGCGCATTGGGTATATAGGACTAGACCTAGATTTTTACAGGCCAATCGGCACTTTGTGGGTGATGTGGTCAGTATCAAGGCCGGCCGTCTTTACTTCCCAGGACTGCACCTGGACCCACTAAGGCTGGGTCGACCTGGAAGTCAAGGTCTTGTTTGTTTTTTAAGTCCAACTTCTTCAGGACTCGAACCCACAACCTTCTAGCTTCCATCTAGCTGCTAATGCCACGGTGACTCCCAAAGAAACATATGGAGACTTAAAAATAAATGAAGAAGAGAATCAGAAATGGAGATAAATAGTAATGAAAAGACTTGGTAGTACCTACATAAAATATCAAAGGATATGGGAAGGGTAAGGGTCTATGATCCATAGGGGATAAAAGTCATAAGAAAAAGCTGACATCTACATTATTGTGAGGCTTGAAAATGTGAACAAATAAATAATTTCTGGTATATAGTGGGCTACCTCATAATGTAGTGACCAATTATACATAAAGTAGTATAATTTCATGTCATTATTTTTAGTGGGGACCATATAGGAATAAAGAAGCTGTACTGGCTAGATGCTTGTTTACAAGTCCTAAGATCTTGGGTTAAAATCTGATAGAGGTGGATTTTTTAATAATGAAATGGACTCCCTGGTCAACCCAGCTTAAAGGGATACCAGGAAATGTCCTCGCAAGCAAAGGCGGCTGATGTGCACTTAACCATATTCCACACCATATGCCAGTTGGTCAACACAAATGTTTGTCTAGCATTGTACGGCCAATGTGCCAGTGACATAAAGATTCTTTTTATAAGGAAATCAAAGAACAGCAACTTTTACACCTTCCAAGTATGTCTACGAATTAAGAGCTGGCCAAGAATGACTGGCTTGAGGCAAGTACCATAACCTATATTTTTCTTTAAATGTTCGATACAAAATCATGGAACCTATTCACTTAAAAGACCTTTGTATGAGATAGCTGAGTAAGAAAAAATGTAGATGTTTTGTTTCTTACCTTGCTAATCCTTTGATTCCATTTGCTCCTCTTGTTAAACATGCTAGTCTTAATCTTTCCACTGGGTCTGTTACTTTAAGCATTGCTTTTTTAGCCTTCATCTGGAGCTCTGTCTGTGTTCGTACTGTGGCCGCCATTATCAGATCTGTGTATTTCTGGGGGTTTATTGACAACAACAAAAATGCTTTCAAGAGTGCATGTATACAGCTTAATTTGTCTGTCTGTATAAATACAGATGAATGATGACTTTTTCTAGTATACAATTTGCTCTTGAGTAGTAGTAGCAATTTTTCAAAAATATTCTCTACAACCCTCAGGGTTATAATTGGGATATAAGGTGTTAATTGAGTTCTCAGAGTATATATTTATTATTTTACATTTATATATCTTGTAATTATTTATTTGACCAGAATGTAATTTGTATTGTTTCCCATTACAGGTTTCTGCAGGTGAGGTTATGCTGAGTGTTAAACCATAAAGCCTTAATGGTGGCACACTTTAAAGAACCTGGGGTCAACATCAACTCTGTCCACTACTAGGAAATATTAGACAAGCTGCATAAAGCCAGGAAGAATAAAGGTTTGCCAGTGGATCGGCCTCGAGAGCGCCTTGCCATGAATACTCACATGGGGTGAGATCTTACGAATGGCCCGGCTGCGATTGAGCTTTGTCGTAAGATCTGCGTCTGGCGTCAACATGGTAAAGTGGCATGTGGCTACCAACATGCCCACTGTGCAGACGCTCGAGCACGTATTGTCCGTGTGCAGAAAAGCCCTAGGTCAGGGAAGGTACACTTGGCACCATAATAAGATCCTAAAAGCATTAGCGGACATTGTGGACCTAGCCAGGATGAGGGCGAACGTGAGGGCCAGTCCTACCATTACCTCGTTTCGCTTCCTCAAGGTTGGGCAGATTTATAAAGGTAAAATAAACAAAATCGCATTGCTTCATTGATACTTGACTGTGCGAGGGACTTGTTACTGGCTGTCAACCTGCCTGGTTGTGAGAGGTACCCAGAGGTAATTCGGAAGGCCGGCCTGCGACCCAGCTTAGTCCTACACTCTGCGGAGAAACACCAGCTCATCCTGATTGAGCTGACCATGCAGTATAAGTTGCGAATGGACAAAAATAACATATACAAGCTCGAGAAGTACTGTGATCTTGCCAGTGTGCATCTGCCAATTGTAACATGTGCCCGATGAACCAGCTGTAAGCTGCTGATCTAATGGGCAACCGCATCGACAATACATATATTTAACTTCGAATCTCACAGTACCCGTTACATGGTCACCATTTTCATCTTGTCCCTGTCCGAGAACATGACCCAGGTCGGCCCACCCTCTGAAGTTGTCTAGGAGGTAATGGTCTGAAACAATTGTTGATGAGGGATCTTCTACTGATGAGTGGTGGACTCCTGCTGTACATGCTCCCCTGCGGAGTTCTTCTTACTTATATGACATGCTTTCTCATTGCATCCAGCCTATAGTCATGATCTGTCACCATGCAATTTTAATTCGTTCAGATTTCTTTTTTTTTTAAATTGTTTTTTTAATGATTCCACACAGAAGCATTAACCTATGCAATGGAATGCTTGTCTAAAACCCTATAACTTTTTCTGAACAGCCCTTTCAAAATGATTGCATTGTTCACTTATGCCAACCTGCTGTTTTTCTTTCAGGCTTTTTGTAGTAAATCCATTGCAGTGAGTTTCAGGTGACTGCTCCTTATATAGGCTCTCCTCCGAATGATGGGTCTGAACAGGAACGATCGCGTCTAAAAATATACCCTAACAGGGCCTCAATGGTGTGTAAAATTAAAATTTGGATGTCTGTCAAGAATACACCAGGGGCGGGCGGTAAATCGTGCGAATATATATATATGTGTGTGTGTGTGTGTGTGTGTGTGTGTGTGTGTGTGTGTGTGTGTGTGTGTGTGTTCTGTATATGTGCAGTTTCAGAAATAAAGATCTAGATAAAGATCACTTGCAGTTTGCATGTGAACGAAAGGTGAAGACTTGCAGTTTGCAAGTGAACGAAAGGTGAAGACTTGCAGTTTGCAAGTGAACGAAAGGTGAAGACTTGCAGTTTGCAACATTAGACAAAGTCACAAAGTTCAAAGACTGCTGCCCGTCTGTAACATCAGAGCAGTAATAATACTCTAACCAACAGAGGGAAATAACACTTTACATCGGATCTGTTACTAGATAACACATTACTAAGTTAACTAAATATGCAATTTGTCAAACATTATGTCGGCAATGTCACAATATATTGAATCAATGAATCACATCCAGTGTCCAGTAACTCTACACAGACAGTCTCTTGAAATTAATGATGAATAAGAAAAATTATGTACTTCTACATATAAAATCCTTACCTTATCTGATGATCAGGAAACGGTATACTACACGGCAGTCGGAACAGACACTGTTTGAAACAACAAGCCTGTACGTGAAGTTGATAGTGGGGGACAAATATTAATATCGATTTGATTCCGGGCAGGCAGGAATCTCTTATTCTTAGCGTACCAGGGCGTGTTTCCAACGCTGTTTCCATGGAGATAACGGACGGGGGGTGTTCATTCATTAACTTACGACATTCAAGACATCTTTTTGTTCCAAATTACAGCACACACGTACATTGAAACAGATTGACGATCGCGAAGAATTAGACACAAAATAAGAAAAAAAGTAGAGGACACGCTAGTCATTAAGCATGATGAGAATTATATATATTATATATTTACTGAGAAGAAGCCCGCCACTTCAAAACCACTTGGCCGCCATTGTTTTGTTTCGACCACTAAGTTTAACATTGGAACACGCAACTGCAGCAAGGCGGCGGCTGTTTAATTTGAAATAACTAGTTGGTATGGCAGCAAGACTTCTGACTTCTTTTTAAAATTTTGTATTTTAGAAAATATGTATTCCTTTCTGATGCTCTGATTCAGTAGATACGTTAATAATGTCATTAGCGGCTAGGCTATCCTCCGAACAACGGGCGGTAAAGATGGCGGCCGCAAAATATCCTGACGAGCCACAGTCACATGTCATGTGTTGTAAACATTCAAAAAATGAAGTTAAAACTAATACGGAACGAAAAAAATGTTATAACAAATCGACTACTTACCGATAATTATATGCCTTTATATCTGTAAATTATGGCACAGAAATTATAAATAATGCCCAAAAATCTGCTGTTTGTGGCTGTTACGCCATTGAAACTCGGCTAAGTACAATCGGAACGTCACTGACGCATAAATTGCCGACTTCGTTCCAACGAACACTCCATCGAGAGCCTTCCACAAGAGCAAATGAAATGAGGACACTGCAGGAGATGCGATAGCTGCTACTCGTGGGTCCCAGCCATCTAGTTTAGCAGGGAATATCCTTTCGAGAACAGTCACAGTACCTAATTTGCAATTCTCCGCCGGTTTTTCAGCGACTACCGCCACCGCCACGAGTCCCACATGCCGCTCACACGCCATGTATTGGGGCTAAACTAGATGGTTAGGACTCATGAGCAAATAAAATCGAGAAACCTGCAGGAGATGTGGTAGCTGCTACTCGTGAGTCCTAGCCATCTAGGAAGACAACCGGAGTGCGCAATTGACACGTGACTGAGGCCCTGTTAGGGTATATTTTCCGCCTCGATAATTTAGGACCGTTATTCAGAGGATAGCCTTGTCATTTAATAAATAGGCTATCTTCGGAATAACGGTCCCAGCCATCTAGTACTCTCGGCGATGGCGGAAGACCGCGATTGACACGTGACTGAGGCCCTGTTAAGGTATATTTTCGGCCTCGATAATTTGGGACCGTTATTCAGAAGATAGCCAATAAATATTTTATTTCCTAATCCTCACAGAGACAGTTTTTAAGATTTGACGAGGCCTCCAGGCCCGTCTAAGCTTCTCATGAGTACAAGGAAATATCCAGGGAAACAGATGCGGCCAAAGATTGACATCGCCCATCCTATTCCCATTGGTCTCTAAAAATCAGTTTGGCATAGCATCATAAGCCCTATGCACCAAGATGGGCACAGGATATGACTGACACCTGTGGTAGGAAAGGGCAAAAGTGGAAGAGCTGGTGAGCTTCTTTCAGGCAGATCAGAATGAAAGTGATGTTCTACAAAAGATCTGCTACAGGATAATGATGATTTTTTGGTGGTGGGGGGGGGGGGGGTGGTTAACAGTGAAGTTGACCTGCAGGTTGTTATCTCCAGTCAATTAGGTTTGCACATTATACTGATAGCAAACTCATTTCATTAATGTTTAATTCAACAAAATGGAAACAAGACAAAACAACATTCTCAGTGATTCACTCTAATGAACGTGAAGGAAAATCAATAGTATGAATATTTATATTTGAAATGTGAGATCTGATGTGGCTATGAAATTGGTGCTTCAAAAAAGCCACTTTGATTGCTTAGTCCTGGGGTAAATTTTTAACTTTCTCTCTAACTGAACATAAGTGGTAGCTATAAATAATTAATTTTGATGAGCTCGTGATTTGATTCAGCCGATCCTGATTTAGTGAATACATGATTTGATTAAATTGCTGCTGTTGAAACATTTTATGTAGAGCTTTAGTTCGGTCAACTGTAATAGAATAAACTGACATGATGAAGCACATTGTGCACACATTTTGTTTTTAGTTTTTGGTCTTTGTCCTAGACGATTATCAGTACACCCAATCCTCTAGCCCAGAAAAAAAGGAGGATTGGGTGGGGGGGGGGGGGGGGGGGGGGTGATGGGGTATGCCACACTTTTCTTTATATTGTAAGATTCTATGCTATATCTAGACCGGTGGCTCCCACTTAGTTGAGACGTACAGATCACTCTTATTTTTGAAGGTCTGCTACAGGCCCCATACTTTTTTAATTATCATACCGAAGAATTTTGTATAATTTAATAATAGTGTCTTCTTCTTCTTCTTCTTCACTTCCTCTTTTACCGCTGTGGGTGTCGAGGGAGATATAAGGTTCTGTTTCTAGCTGCCTCGACCATAGGCACATCGTGCTGTTGTAGAGTTTCTGATGTTATCCTTCCATCTTGTTCTTGGTCTACCCCCTGCTCTACGTCCTTCTTCTCTTTCCATGTATGCTTTGTATGGTATGGTGTCACAAGGCATTCTCTCTAAGTGGGCAAACCATTTCACTTGCTGTCTTTGTATGTAATCCAGAATTGGTTCTGTGCCGACTTGTTCTCTTATGATCTCATTCCTGATCTTATCTCTTATGGTCACTCCTACAGCCCTTCTCAGACATCTCATTTCCGTGGTTACTAATTTTCTTTTATGGTTTGTTGTGAGTGACCATGTCTGGCACTGGTAGCACAGAGTTGGAATAAGTATGCTTTGAATAAGATGTCTCTTTGTGCTGATTGGGATTGTCTTATGCTGTAAGAGGGGGGCTAGCTGTCCCAATACTTGGTTTGCTTTACTGCATCTATGTTCACTGACCCCTTAAATTTGTTCCACAGTTTCCTTGGGGTTCGTGGACCAAATAGGAAACACTGATCTAAACTGAATTTAGCAAAGTCCCCGTAAGTTAAAGAATTTCGAATTAAGATTCAACATCATAGCACTTAGGAAACTCCCATAATCGCTCCATCCCCATCAGCAGCAGCAAGCGAAGAGTTTCAATTCTGATGGTACCAGTAACTGTCTGAATGTATATCCATCTCGTTTTTCCTCTGGGTGTTGAGTGTCGGCCAGATCTCCTGAATACTCCTAGCAATGCCTTTCTCCTCAGACCCTTATGCCTCCGCACTGTTCACTCGCTCCCAAAGTGCTCTCACAACATCTAGCTTGTCATACATCAATTCACTACCAAATGGTGCAGAGCTGGCCAGTCTATCTGCCTGCTCATTTCCCGCACAACGACCATAGATTAAAGAATAACATTGAAACATTTTTTTTCTTTCCACACACTTTCACATGGAAAATTACAATATATGGGGTATTATCTAAATTGAAGCTAGTGTATAAACTCCTTGCTATCTATCTGCTGAAAAAAGTTAGATGTTTTGCCCAAATTATGATTGCGTTGTTTTAGAAAAAAGTAGTTTAATTTGTTATTTTCTTGATTTTTGTTTAAACCTTTATGCCACAGCTTTGTCCGTAAGCCACATGAGATGAGTTATCTGAAACTGCCATCCCAAAAAATTCTGGCCAAACACTTGAGATGCTGCACTGCAACACAGGAAACAGCCGGCAGGGAGCAGAGCATTTGGAAGTGTCAGTTAGGTCACAGAAGCTTTACAGTATCTCCATCTGTATGGATTCAAGGAACTGTTGTGCAGGTATGTCCTTTATTATCTAGTCATTTTTGAGAGAGTAAAATTCAATGAAAGAAGTAAATTCTTCAGGCTAAGTTATACAGTAAACATTTGTGCTTGACATATGTGTGTTATGTTTAGTTAACTCTTTTAGCCCCAAATATTTTGCAGTGTATGCTCAAGAGTTAAAGCAGTAAAAGTGAATAAATCCTGAGAGTATTATTTTATTGTTAACAATATAAGAAAAAAGTTATGTTTGCATATCCAAATAAATAGACAGGTTTCTCGAGTGGCAAAAGGGCACCAGCACAGTGACCAGCATGGGTTAAACCAAGCACCAGCAACAGTCAGCAAAAACCCACAGAGATAGGAGTTAAAGAGAGCCGGACCGGACCAGGACCTGGAACCCCAAATACCACACAGGACTTAGCACTTTGGAAGACAAAGAACAGAAATATCAGTTGTGACTTCACACCACAAAGAATAGGACACCAAATAAGACAAAGGAACCTCCCTTCATATAACAGGCCCGCGGGCGACTGAAAAAGGATCGAGTTTGGAATTTTTGTTTATCAATTTGGAATTGGAATTGGAGTATGACTAGGCTAAACATCAGATGATACGCATTGTTTAGCTAATCAATTTTGATGTATTACGTGAGGCCCAAAATCCCACATAAATCATACATAGATAGTTGACTGTGAGAAGAGGGATCACTTTCTGTTTGTTTTCATTATCGTCTTGTAGTGCCTTGCAGACTAGCGATGGACAGTCATGCCTCTTCACATCTTGCAATCTCCAGTAACATGTATTAGTTTGTGTCTTGACACCTCTTCATGACATGACAAAAGGCTGTCAAGAATCTTCTCAAATTGTTTACTTGTGTCTTTCTTTTCACAAATCTATCCATTGTCACATTTTTCAGTTTCTTTCTTCTCAAAACAGGGCTAAAAAAACAATGATTGTCTCTTTCTGATGTTTGTGAAAAGGTATTATCTGAGCTTTTTCTCCTTCAGAACATCTAGATTACTCATTTTGGCTGTCCAAGAAGTTTTCAGCATTATTCTATAAAAGTACATCTCTGAGACCTCAAGGAATTGTTTGTTATAAATTATTACCTTCAAAAATCATCATGGATTAAGTTTTAAAATTAAAGTAATGATTACAGAATATACACACACACACACACACATGGTAAATGTTTACATGACTTTTTGTTGCATGAATTCATATTTTTCAGCATCTTTATTGTTTTTCTTTGTCTTATTATTACTTAAGGAGAGCTACTAATGTTCAAATATTAAACTACTTTTCATTTGTAGCACAGTGATATTGAACACAGGTGTGAGAGAAACTTAAGGCTGTTGTGATGTATGTAAGGAGTTACTCCGAACCTCACCTCAGGTACCAGCTGGCTCTAGGATGGTTGTACAGATACTCATGCAAGACTCTTGCCGCACATCCATGCCGTGCACCACGGATAAGGGCTCAACTTTGTGGCCTGAGCTGAGTTGGCAGGGATCTCAGAGTTGGTGATGTGGTGTCCAATTTGGCTCACATCAGCCTAACCCAGTGCATGGGTGAAAACGTCAATAAAAGTTTATTTAGAACATGGGTAAAGTCCGCTAGTCGAACATACTACTAAATGACAACACTCAGTTAAAACATATGGCAAGTGGGAAAAACTGCTGAACTGCTCATATAACAAGAGATTTGCTTGCAGCATAGAAGAGCAACATCTTTAGCAGACGGTAACTCACGGAACAGTACTGTCTCCGTTCATTCCTTACTGTTCCTTAACGTTGTTGTCACCCCGATGAGGTAAAACCACGACAATCTGCCACTGTCAGTGTGCTGGTTTGACATACATGTCCATCTCATACATGTCCTGTGGCACAGAAATAAAGTCCAAAATGTCTGACCGAAAAGATCCTACTAAGTGGTAGAAAGGTTCACATGACCGTTAACTTTGGCCCCACTCTCTAGAGTGTGGGACCTAAAAGAGGAGGCAATGCTCGATGCATGCTTTTACCGTAGTGTCTTGCTAAGTTCCCAGATTTAACAATGTTAAAGTGTCCAACGTGCTGAAGACAAATGTACCTATTTGTGTGGCCATCAAAGTCCCTGACCTGCAGGCTGCTCCATGCTGATCTCCAGAGGGGGCAGTGGATGATGATTGAAAGCTCAGCATATGGATGTGAGTCATTTGCAGGGCGTGACGATTCTTTGGGTGAGCCCGGGACTAGAGCGTCGTGTGTTAATTCTGCATTTATGGAAACCTCCTTGGATGGCGGGGAATGCCCATGACCTGCCTTTGTCTTCCCTAGAGGGCCGACCTGTCTTCATGCGGATGCCCTAAACGGAGTCTCCAGGGACAAAACCTGTATATAAGGGGATAAAGATAACACTGTGTGACATACAAGGTTTGGATGTCCATTTATCAATTGTCAGACTTTGTGACAAAAAGAATGAAATGTCCTACCATCAGTTGTCCTAAAATGTGACAGACAGACAAGGTTCAGATGGCTGACCATCAGTTATCCTACTGTGTGGCAAAATACTTCAAACGTCTGCCACCACTGGCCCCATTCGTCAGAGGGTCGGGACCATAAGATGAAGCCATGAATGATACATGAATTTCCTCTACTGGCATGATAAGTGTCCTGAAACAGCTAGGTTAAATGATTTATAACGTGCCGAGGAAGACTTTTGCCCATCTTCGAGGTCATAGAAGTCTCGAATCTGCAAGCTGCTGTCTGTTGATCTTTAAAGAATGCAACCTGTGCTGATTGGGAAGCTCAGCATACGGATGTGAGGTTGAGCAGTCTTGTGCAGGATATGATGATTCTTTGGTTGAGCCCAGAACCAGAGCGTCATGTTCGGCTTTGCATTCATGGAAGCCTCCTCGGATGGCAGTGAATGTCCATGTTTTGCCCCTGCCTTTCCTTGAGGGTTGAACAGTCTGCGCATGGTTGCCCTGGACAGGTTCTCTAGGGACAGAACCATTAGATAAAGGGATAAAAAAGGACACCATACATTAAAGGCCAAGTTCCATGAAACCAGACTGGGAAAGCCAACCCGATGAACAAATAAATACCTGATGAAGTTGGATGTGTCTGTCAAAAGGAGCAAATGTTGCAGCTATGCTCTAAAAAAGTCACAAAGCTTATTATGTCACTCTGAGTAATGATGAAGAAGGAGAAGAAAATTGTAGCCAGAATCAACAAATTGACAATTATTTGTGTCCTCATACTTTAGGTTTCAGATTGTGGAAGCAAAGTCATTGTTGATGATGGCACAGGCATCGTAATTCTCTCTGACTGTGACAAAGTTTGTTCAAAAGTGATGTTGACAAAAGGTGAGATAATGTTAGTCACATAACTATTTTATCCGCATGGCAGCAAGATTGTTGAATTGTTATCTGAGTCTTGTGTTTGACAGTTGCACATCCAGTACCATTGTCAAATATCAAAAACCAGTTGGCTTATAATAATATTAAGGAAGGGAGCCACGGTAGCGTAGTGGCTAGATGCTGGCCTGAAGATCTTTATTTAAATTCACATTGTTGGAATTTTGTTCAACTTTGGCTTCCAGGTGGACCCACAATAAAATAGATACCAGGTAATTTACTGGAAGTAAAGGCAGCTATAATGTTGACCACATCCCTCTTTAGGTGCCAGTTGGTCAGTAAAAAGGGGTCTGTACTTGTTTATTATTAAGGAGAGTAATTAACTGATTTCTTAAGAATGTGTGAAAATAGATTAAGAAGATTTTCCCAAAGTGTTCTGCACTCTCTGACACCTGCTGAAACATTCAGTGTTAGGAAATTTGTTATGTATTAAAAAAGGGATACAATTCTATCAAATTTATATAAGTGTAATGGAACATAACTTTTTCCCTCAATAATTACAGTCTGAAAGACTAAATGAAATAATAGAAACTGTTTAACCGTATAAGGCAGTTATACTAAGGCACCTGATGGTTAACCCCTTAACCCACAAGAAAAAAAAGATAGCTAAGCTCCCGTAATTTCCATTTTTTTTTTTTTATAATCTTCAGAGAAAAACAACCATTTTACACATAATACAAAAGAAAAACAATGGCACAAAATCCGTTTATATAGAAAACTGTCACGGGGTGCATTTTTTGTATTTTTTATTATGAAGCCCCACTCCTGCTGTTGTTGGGGGTCCTAATACAACCCCTACAAAGTTGAACAGGGTTTCTGGGACCTTTCCTCTGGTGAGCCTCATCTGAATGGTGGCAATTTATGTCACCGGGTGTTTATAGCTCAGTGTGACGTCCTGGTTGGGTTAAACATCAGTCGCTCAAAATCAGTTAATTATCCATAACACAAGCAGTTATAGTAAAGAGGAAGGGGGGTTATCAATAAAAGCTAATGCAGCAGAGAACCAGCTAGCTTAAATCCTTTCAGGGCTGAAAGCTAATTATGGCGTAACTTCTGCTTGATCCAGTTCTCTGGTAACCATTTTAGCCAATAGGAAAAATATGACTTAGAAATGTCTATAAATAAAACCTTTTTTTTTTATAGGAAGCACCACTAAATATTTTTAGTAGATTTAGTTCATCCCCTGTCATGCTGAATTCTGTTAGCCAGAGGTCTCATAAACATGTCTCTATAGCGAGTCAGAACAGTGTTTCTTATGGGAAAATGGGACCATCCAGAAGTGTCCATGTTTTGGCTTCTTGAGGCGGCCAAAGGGTAAAATGTAACCTGTTATTCAGTGCTAATCAATTTGATTGCACATTGAAAAGTCTTCCATACTTCGTATTTACATTAGGTTTGTATAAATGCAACATTCAATATGTTATTTACTGTGCATCTTGCAGGTATGTATGTCATGGCAGTGGGAAGTTTGCAGTCAGGTGAAGAATGCCCTGTTATGGTACCTATCAAACTACAGGACTTGTCATCCATTGATCACGCAGAAACACTGTGGCCCTTGGAAGTTATAGATCAGTTGAACTTTTTGAAAAGCTGATGTAGCTGAGTTTTCACATGTGTGTGTTTTTTTAAGCATGTAAAAATGTGTTCATTCCTTAGATGGTTTTCAGAAACTGTGTGATGCTTAGAAGCAATAAATCAGTTGATCAATTTGAAAAGCTGATGAACTGGTATTTTTCACATGTAAATGTAGTTAAATATTCTTTGAACTTTTTGAAGAGCTGATATAACTGTTGTTTCAAACTGTTTTCTACATGTAAATGTGCGTGCATTCCTAAGATAGTTTTCAGAAACATGATGCTACATTGTTGACATGCTTTGTGAAGCCAAGAGTCTTAGTCATACATTAAACTTAAGCTTGAACTGTGTCAAACGATGTCAGCTGCAGTGAGAAAAAAGAGTGAAAGTGCTGGGGAAAAATGTTTGCTGTGTCTGTGTGAAAAATGGACTGTATGATGGACTGTATTCAGACAAACCGAAAAACATCTTTTGGTAGCAGAAATGTGTTTACAGACAAAGATGCAAAATTCCTAATAGATAATCTCAAGTGATTGCATGAAAAACAAGAACAAGCACAAGAAAAATATTAAAAGTATAGAAGTGGCAGGAAAATTTACAAGAAATAGAGAGGTTTGGTTGTGTACCGATGGAAGCTATGTTTTGCAACGAAGCTGATTCAAAATAATGAACGCTGAATAAGGAAATGACATCACAGCACTCGGGACACTCCCATAAGTGCTCAGTCCCTATCTTTAGCTGCAAGGGAAGAGTTCCAATTCCAATGGCACCAGTAGCCGTCTGATTGCAATCCGTCTCATCCTTCCCCAGAGTGTTGAGTGTCGGCCACATCCCCTGGTAACTCCTCACAGCGCCATTCTCCTTAGACCGTAATGATCTATCTGCGCATCTGCACTGTTCACTCGTTCTCAAATGGCTCTCACAATATCTCGCTTGTCATACATCAATTCATCACCAAGTGGTGCAGAACTGGCCAGTCTGTCTGCCTGCTCATTAACCAACACACCGGCATAACCTGGAGAAAATTTCCAAAGGATGCTAACTAACCGGGACCTCTGAAGTGATGCTTGCCACTCTGCACGAAGATTGCATGTCTTCACCTTTCTCAACATGCTCTGTGTTACAATCATGGCATGCGTGTACAGCTTATTCTCAAGCCAGCGGAAGGCAGCAGAGACTAACTCCATTCTCAAACTAGACGTTGTGATATCATATGCAAGGCTTTGCTGCACTAAGTGACGTCCATTCGAGTTTGCTATGAACCCCTATGCATTTCATCTGCCCCTCAACACAGAGACATCTGTTTAGATAATCACATCACCTGGGTTGGAATTGTAAGGAATCATTTGTTGAACTTCTGATTCTGCAGCACCAGCTGGCCAGCCTCTGCACTCACGACCTAAAGTGATTAGAACCGTACACAACTTGTTCGTACACCTTGACCCACTTCTCTCCTTGCTCAAATTAATCAAGGATGCACACATGTCCAATTGTGTCTTCAGCTTGCACCATCCTAAATAATGATAAAATGTAAAATAAAAACACATAACCAACCATGCAGATTTTACACTGAAATTAGTATTTCGGAAGACGCCGTGGCCGAGCGACTAGACGCTTGTCGCGGATCGGAAGGTTGTGGCTTCGCTCCCTGTTGGAGCCGGACATTTTTCAAAAATGACCTTGATCCCAGGTCGACCCAGCCTTGAGTGGGTACTGGGTGTAGTCTAGGAAAGTAAAGGTGGCCGGTGTGATGCTGACCACATCACTAATTTGCGCTGATTGGTCTATAAAAATATAGTTCTAGCTCTATATACCCTATACGCCTAAAGGGGTGAAAAAGAGTTCCTCCCCTTAGTATTTCAGTTTGGATTGTTATTATAAGGAAAAACCAAATGCGTATACTCATAAAGCAGAAACATTTTGTTAATTTATATCTGCACATAACAGAAGGACTAAACTGGTTGATAAAAGGACTAAACTGGTTGGTAGAAGGACTAAACTGATTAGACACAACAACCAGATGATGAGCTCATGAGAATCAAACAAATTCTTTGGAAACAAGCGCTAAGACCCATATATTTGCACTTGAAGTAACACAGACTGAGAAAACAGGTTATACTGTTCAGCTTGAAACTAGAATTTACAAGGCAAAAGATACATATGAAAACCTAAGGACACATGAAGAGAGAATGAGAAACAAAGATAAAAAGTATGGAAAAGATATGGTAATAACTACATAAAATAAATAGGGCAGTCCATCATGATACGGATGAAAACTGTAAACACATTAGAGGAATTAAATGTAGACATTCAAGATTTTGTGGACATGTTATGGGAAGGAACAAACTCAAAAACTAACTGACAGCTGGTAAGCTTGATGGAAAATAAGTAGGACAAGACAAAGACATGTTTGTTTTAGTATCCAGAAGCCATGAGTTGTTAACCCTTAGGCTCAGTATTATGGATATCGCAACCTTTCGGCCTTGATTCCATTTTAAAAACCGTAAATCTGGGAGAAATGTGGCTTTTCTGCCCACCCCCGGGAGTGAACCTGGACCACAAGGAGTTCGTCACCCGCTCACCGCGCAATCCGGTTTAGCCAACTACGCTAGAGAGACGGGCTAGACAAATAGATAAACACTTGAAATGCTTTTCCTGATGGGTTAAGCACAACAAGAACACAGACCTCATTCATGATTTTATGAGATGATAAACCACAGCCTATATTTATCAGCATGGCATATCACGATTATGTCAGGCTTATGTTTTATCTGAGTGCAGCAGACACATTTACAGACATTCTGAACATGATTCAGAATGATGCTGATGGAAGTCTTAGTCTTACTTGAGGTTTCAACATCCCTGCAGTCGGGTCACCTTATAATTGTTCTGTTGCTGTGCCAGTGGAAATCAAATGAAATATCTCTCACTGTCCCATTTAAAAAACTGGAGAACGAACATTTAGTCAGGGGTATTTACTATAAGTGCCAAAGCCAACAGTCGACACCAGAAATGAAGTTTGTTGTTGATGGACATAGTTGGTCACTATTAGTTGTCTATATAAATTCAAAATTATTACATAAGGTATTTTGTCAGGTCACTCCTAAACCAGCTACCGCCGGATAAATTGAATACCACAACTCAACTGCTGCACAAATGGAAAGGAATTCCACATGAAAAACACAGCTCACAGGGCTGCACCAAGCACTAAACTCAGTAGCTTAGGCAGCAAAACTGTAGACTTCCATCCAAATGTGGAAACTGCATTAACAAAACAGTCAGAAGCATAAAGTAACTTCGAAGCTAATTCTTGAACAATGGCTGTAAACTTTGGTGGAATGTTCTGTTCTTTATCCACTTCTGGACATACCTTGAGCTTTGTGTGAACATCCGTTTTACAGATCTGGCTGACTTCTATGCAGAGTGTAGGTTCCTCACCTCTCAGGCAGATGGACTCCAACTTAAAAGGACTTTTACGACATGCTTTGGTTGAGGGGGGGGGGGGCAGTGGGTCTATTCATTCTTCCCCACAGAGGGACTGTTGCTACCAGTTACTGGCTCTTATCTTGTTATTGTTCTTCCATCCTTCCTAATTATAGCGTTTCATTATGCTATAGGGAGGCAAGAGAAGGATAACCCATGGCAACAATTAGTGTGACTAGCCAGACCAGCTCACATTAAGGAAATCCTCCGCAATAAGTACATGACATTTCAGGACTAGTGTTGCCACCAGTCAGATTTGATATGTGTCCTCTCAGATGCTTAGTTTTTTTAAAGCTTTTTTTTTTAACCTGCCTGCAGTCCGTTGGCACTGTTCCCTGCCTAATGTTCCCTTTCACTACAGTGTGATCCATGGCATCTTGTTCCATGAATCCACATTAATACCCGTTTCATTCATGTTCTGCGTGCACAAATCTTTAAATTGTAATAGAGGTCAACCCCCAACTTTTTCAACCAATCTGTAATTCACCATAGAGCAACAGTTCTCAGTCAGTGGGTCGAACAAGGACCCTTTCACAAGGGTTACCTAAGACCATCGGAAAACACATGTTCATTGAAGTTATGAAGTAGCAATAAAAATGATTGTATGGTTGGGGTTCCCCACAACTTGAAGAACTTTATTAAAGAGTTACGGCATAAGGAAGGTTGCGAGCCACTGCCATAGAGGATGTCCTTTAAGTCCAGTTAAGGCTGTGCTTGAAGTCCACTTCCATAGCACAAAGACTGGGCAATATTGTAGAGAATATGAGTTGGCCATGCAGCATGATTCCTGTCTGCTTTCTTTGTTAACTGAAAAGGAAAGGTAACACCAATACGTTTGAAGTAAAGCATGCTGCAGAATCTGCTGGCACAGAAGAGTCGTGCACTATTTTTCCGCGTCTCTGAGCTTTCAGGCTGAATTTCTTCGTCCTATTATATATCATGTATCCACCGCAATGTTCTTCTCTGCCTGAAGTCAGATGTCAAGTTTAGTATACGCCACCAAACTCGTCCCTTTTCTAATATAAATTGTTGCCCGTGTGGGTTCCGGGGCCCCATTGTGAGGGAAAACAAGAATAGACCCAATGCCTGCCCAAAAGCATATCGTAAGAGTAGAGTAACTGGGAGTTTCCTTCAAAGTCGGAGTACATCTGCCTGAGGGGCATGGAACCAACAGTCTGCATGCAAATGAGTCAGACATGTGAAACGAATATACACGCAACAGGTTCTGGAACAAGGCTGGAGTCCATAAGTGGATGAACAACCAGAATTTTCCGTTGGAGTTTGAACCAGTGAACGTGAAGAAGAAGATATCAATAGTGTATCTAGTTAATAAAATCAGTGACATTAATTACCACTGTGGTAGAGCAGAACTGATGCTTGCAGCTTGTAATGCCAATGGACTGCATCACATGACTCCCTTTCAGGAAAATGGGCTACCCCAGTCCAGCTGATGTTGACAGGTGAAGAAGTAAAATCTCAGTCTGAAAGAATTTTTGTAATCAAAAAGTAGTGCCCCACATCTCTTCCCCTCCCCCCCCCCCCAACCCCGTCTCCAAATTGTTTGTGAAACATTTATGAGAAATTCGCTGACAGTATTTGTATTTTGCACATTTAATTTTCTATATAATCTCTGCCTACTTCTGCGCCAGCGTGAAACAATGGCATGCACAGCTTGCCTTTATTAGGTTTTTCCTGTTCCCCTAGCCATTTCTTTGCAGCGCGAATAACATCTTCAGGTCCGTCTCTACACTATCTGAATCTTTCATTCGCTTGGCCCAGCAGTATTCCTATTGACTGCACAACTTCCATACACTGCACACAAACGTTCATCAGTTTCTTCTTCTACAATCAGAACTTTTGTGATAATTCGCTGTTTGTAACGCATATTGTCCTCATCTTCTATTGTAGCGAATTAGCGGAGCTATTATTTTTAGAATGAATAGTGATTAGTGATTATAAATTGATTATCATCACAGCACTCTCCACAGATCCGTAGGTGCTCCGATCTCCTCCTCAAAAGCTCCACAAGTGTAAAACGACTGATGACGCTTGTTCTGTTTTGGTTAATGAAACGTCTTGTCCCCTTAGTGAAATGTTCATTTCTTGCAGTTCCAGGCTGCACCCCATGTCCATCAGTTTAGACAGGGATATGGAGTCATGTCCTTTGGCGTGCTCCTTGGTACGGTAAGTGCAGCGCATGGCAATGATAACATGACTTCTGTCCAGTACTGGACAAGCCATAGCAACTGCAGTGTCAGCAAGATAGTCTGCACGTTCGTTCTCTTGAACACCCACCCACATGACCTGGCACAAAGATGAAGGTTAGGGCAGCGATGTGCTTAATGTTGCTATCCATTCTTGCCTGATTTTTTAGAATGAATCTGAATGAAAAAGATGTAGGCCTAACGCATTACTTTCCTAATGCCATTTGTAACAGCAAATCTCAGTGCTTTCATAGACATCATAAGCAATTAACGTAGCACTACTGCCTTAATGCTCACGATGAAATAGGGTGCTCTATTATTTACTAAGATGGCTCATAGTCTGATCAGAAACTGCTATGGAGGAAGATAAACTACATATAGTATTGTTTTCTTCACGTCCACCGACTGTTAATTCCAGTAAACAACCGTTTTACAGATCTGGCTTATTTGTATGCAGATTAATGGTTCCTTGCCTCTCCGTCAGATTCACTCTGATTAAAGGAAACCCCCTTAAGGGATTCTTACGACATGCTTGGGGGGGGGGGCGTGGATCTACCCCCCCCCTTCCCCAATCCATAGTGAGGCCCCCGAACTATGGCATTCAGATGCAGAAAGTGTGTTTTGCACAAACAAGCCAAATATGTATATGAAAACTTCTCAGACTACATCACTGATTGGTATATATGATAGAATATACTATCTTGTTCGTTCCAGTGAGTACTTCAGACATTCAACGTTAATTTTACCTTCTTGCCTATTGAATCAAAGATTCAAAATCAGACTCTCCGCATTGTGACAGGGGCCATGCGCTCCACGCCCATATGAGACATGGAAACAATTACGGGTCTCCGTGCTCTGTATCACATGAGAGAGACAAAGCTCCTCATCCAGCTCTCTAAATACCACCACCTGAAAGATCAACCCTTGCGAAGCCGACTGCAGAAACACTCAGAGGGCTAGACTGAAGAGAACATGTTTCATTAAGAACGCAGATGCCAAGCTTGCTGACCTCAGACTCCCTCTCATAGTCTCAAATGTGCCCCTGAAACCGTACAATTACTGCACCCGCCCCCCCCCCTTCCCGGCTAAGGGATAACCTGTCAACGGTCAGAACCACTGTAACAGAGATCTCCTCCAAATCATCTATGAGCAGCACTGACATGAAATCTTATTACAGAAGGAGAGATCAATAGACTTTATCCACACCAGAGCTGGATTAGAGTTCATGCAGATGGTTTCAGCCAAGAGAGCAATAAGAGATGGAGGAAGAGGAATATTTACAGAATGCCCAGATGGTTTAACATTTGAACAAGCTATAGCAACAGGTTCATACTCCTCCAATTACAGAGCATAGGCACTTCTGGTGGCATGTTCTTTGATGAACGAACAACAGCCCTGCATGTATAGCAGAGTGGTCTTTCTGACTGATGCCCTGTCAGTTCTACAAGCAATTCGTAGACTGTTCGCAGTTTGTAGACTTGACGAAACAGCTGATTCACTTAGGCTCATCAGTACTGTAGTGGATTCCAGGTCACGGTGGCCTGGGAGAAAATGAAATAGTGGACAGATCGGCCAGAAGTGGCAGTAACGTGGTATAAAGAAGTGATTTAATCTACCAAGAGGCTTAAACATTAATACAGTCTAGTATCAAAGAAAGGTGGCTTGATACACGCAAAATTTTCTCCTCAAGACTCGCTTCATCGCCTTTCTATAGAGGTACAGTGTATTCAGACTTTCGGCGAGTACTTCTACAAAGGGATATGGAGGGATATGGACTGCACGATAGCTTTAGGTTTAGGTGACGGATCAACATCATGGCACCCATATGTTCCGTTCTGCTTCTGACTCAAGCCTGAGTCCGAAGGTTCTCAGCGGAGTGCACAAACTTCGTGGCACCGGCGAGGAACCCAAATACTTTCGGTATATTTATAACTCCAAATTTTGCCCGGGCTACACTTTTTCGATTTCCAACTGCCAAATGATTGTTGCGTCCTCAACAATACACACGGGCGTCAGATCTTACTACATAGAGCCCGGGGAAATTACTAGAAGTCCACTTGAAAAAATCCCAGCCTTCACCGGGGCTTGAACTGGGGACCTCCAGCACTCGAGGTGAACACCATGCTTCGAGACCACGCAGCCCCCTATGATTGCTTTCATAAAGGCTACCGGCCTCCTGATATAAGTTTTTTGACAGAAGGATCGAAGAAGAAAGAAGACAATATTTTGTGCTCCTTTTTTGTTCTTCAACAGACCACAGAGTAGGTCTCATTAAAAAAGTTATCATTTCATCAAACTTTCCCAACGAGGGCTGTCTGGTGTAAAAAGATTGAGGAACACTGGCGCAGTAAGCCCTCAGTGTTGTGTACTGTGTACATCCAAAAGTTGCACTTATTTCGTTCCGCGCTTCGACATCACAAGCAGACGACAGCGGCCAGCGAAAGACTGAGAACAGACTGTCTTCACTTGGGAAACGATTGCTTTTTTAACTATGGCTGCAAATATCATTAGACGAATTATTAGCACACCAAAAGCACCTAAAGCTGTTGGGCCTTACAGGTTAGAGATATAAATGCTTTTCTTTAAAAAAAAAGCTGCATTTCTTGTATTTAATGTTTAAACTTTTATTTTGATAGCGCAGCACAGACTACTAAAGTACTAAAGACTAAAGTGTAAGGAGGGTAAAGTTGACACCGCTAGTGATAAGCAAGCTGGCAGGAACTGTCATGGTAAGGATAGATTGTAATTAGGACAAGATAAGCAGTGGGACTTTGCCACGCTGATGCCTTTCATAGCAGTATACCATACATATGCCGACCCTGGACATATGTTCCTAATACGCCGACACTGCACTTAATGAAATGACTTTGCAGATTCAGAATGCTGAAAGTCACTAGAAGTAGGCATTCTTTTTTTTTGCTCACTGGCTATAAATTTCGTCGGAAAGTCCTGGTTGTTTGCCCATCTGTACTTTGGCTTTGTGCCAGGAACTGAGTTTTGCTGTACATATGTTTTACTGACTTATTTGTGTGCAGTTGGTTGTTCCTTGCTGCTCGGGCAAATGCACTCCGACTTAATTGATCGACTCCTACAACATGCTTGTTGGGGAGACAGTCTAGTCTGGTTTTCCCCGCAGTGGGGCCCCGTAACACACACTGGGATATTAGGTATAACATTATACTTTTTTCCCTTTTGATTATTTGTATGTGATATGTATTTTTTACCATGTAATTATTTTACACGGTAAAAAAATACATTTCACATACATTTTTGATTTAACGGGTTTTATAAATATGTGTGTGTGTGTGTATATATATATATATATATATATATATATATATATATATATATATATATATATATATATTTATGTATATAAATAAAAGGGCTCTCTTTTGAATAACGGTCCCAAATGATCTACGCAGAAAGTTAACCCTAACAGAGCCTCATTACATCCTACCCTACAAAGATTTAAAAGTTGTAGCTCGGAAAATATAAGGAACAAAAAGTATGAGGAAAAGGGCAAAGTCTACTACTTTTCTGACAGTTAAATCCTTTATATGTGAAAATTGTGGCACAGAAGTTGCAAATAGTGCCCGAACATCTGTTCTTTCTGTCTGTCCGCCATTTCAACAGGGCGCGGCTTGTCCGCGATTCTCGTTCCGGGCGAGACATAATCAATAATGTGCGTTTTAATGTATGTGCACGTCGCCTCGGGACAACTTCAAACCAGCAGTCGCCTCGGGACAACTTCAAATCAGCAGCCGCCACAATGGCGCTCCACAATGCCGACCACCCCTTGACCGTGGGGAATGCGACCACGCTGGCAGTTGCGACGGAAGAAGTAGCTCATGAGTGTTTTCCTGCAACTATAGTGCCACATCCGAGAGTATACCCCGCGCTGCTACGCGCGGCGTGGAAGGGGCTAAACTAGATGGCTAGGACTCACGAGCAAAAACAATGGAGGAAGCTGCAGGAGAAGCGGTAGCTGCTGCTCGTGAGTCCCAGCCATCTAGTTTAGCCCCTTCCGGGGGATACTCTCGGAGGTGGCACTATAGTCAGCGAAAAGTGGTCCGCAACTTACATATAACTGTGGCCCTGCCGTAGGATTGCGCTATCGGGAGTATTATTGCTAATTTTTCGTCCTTAGTTAATCCTCAGTTTTGCCGCCGTTTAATCGCCGTAAAAAGGTCCGTTGCGTTTCGCGAAAATGTCGTGCGGAATTAATCCTACTTTTGACGCGGTAAATTCGCCCCAAAAGAAATGCCAATTTTAGATATGAGTGAGGCTCTGTTAGGGTTAATTTTCTGCGTAGATCATTTGGACCGTTATTATAAATGTATTTATTTACATGTTTTAAAATGGTAAATTAAGTAAGTCCTTAACAGCATTGTTATTATATTAGCTACAACTAACTAGCTTAATATCAAGCAAATAGTCATACATTGATCCCTTGCTATGTATATCACTTGTACATTTCAAGTTTCTGTAACCCTGAAGTTGCAGATATTGTTGTTTCTGTGTCTGCTCTTCTTCTTCTGCCTTTCTAACATCCAGTGGAGCATAGGCTCTCAACCAACTCACACCAAGTCATTCTATCCTTTGCTGTCGAATGCAGCTCTCCCCATATCTACTGAGTAAGTGTTATTATTTGCACACATCAGGAGTCAGCAACATTAAGGGTTAAGATGAAGTAGTATGTCAGTTGTTTTACATTCTAAAGTGCTTAAAGAACATTCACCTCAAAAAATGTGACCTACAACATCATTATGAAAAGGAGTTCAGGCTGTAAATATAATTGAAAAGAAAGAATTCAAAATAACACCAAAGGAAATATTTTGCTTGACTGCTGTTACTAAAAGTAAAGTTAAGGTCCAGTATACACTAAAGGTCACTAACAACACAAGAAGAGACAGGGTTACAAATACCAGCATTTGATAGAAAGTCAGAATAAGACCATGACTGGGTTATATTGACAGACAAAGAATGAAATGGAAATGGTTCAGCTATCTAGTGAGAAAACAGCCAGACCAAACTGCAAATGAGACTTTTTACAGCAGAACATCTGTGAGGAAGGCGAGAGGAAAACCAAGAAAGACGTGGATAAATGGTGTAGCAGAAACCTGCAAAAAAAGATTAACAAATCCATCTCCCAAGCCACCCGAGCACAAGACAAATACAGAAAACCACAACACTGCGCTACAAGCTGGGATAAGTATGAAGACAAAAGAAGAAGAAAAAAATACACCAATGGTGCATGCAGCATCTGATGCTAGACATATTGTTAAAGATCAGTTTGGCTGTCACTGGGTTATGTGGTCATCATCACATTGACTTCCTTTGCTTCCCAGGACATTATCTGGTATCCATTTTTTGCTGGGTCAACCTGTAGCCAAGGTCAATTTTGAAAACATTGCGCCATGAATTGGATTCTGACTAAAGACTTCACCTGTGTTACAGTTGAATATTATTGCCTCAGTTTTACACACACACATGCATGTGCACATGCTCACATACAAATGTTAAAAGAAAATACTTTGCACTGAATCTGTTATGTCGCTTTTATTTCTGATTCCCACTTTTTGTTTTTATTTAGCCAGAACTGTTTGTTTTGATCTAACTGACCAATTTTATTTGAAATGTTGAAAGTGTTAAATGTGTTTTACTTTAATTAATTCAGTTTTCCTCATTTTGTTTAAAAACATTGATTGCTCTTTTTAGTTGTTTTGTCCCATTACTATCATGAAATTTCCTTGCTAATTATGTTTAAGGTATCTTACCATTGATGCTGATGTGCATGTGTGCATCACAGTACATTTAAAAACTGTATTTTTTTGTTCAATGTATGTACAAGGAGGACATACTAAAAGGATTGTGTCTGTCTGTTTATGGTTTTCTCAGTCAAGCTGTGCAGGTTAACAACACCTTGTATATCTCCGGACAAATTGGCTTCATTCCAGAAACTATGGAAATTGTTTCTGGAGGAGCTGTTGCAGAAACTGAGCAGGTGATTATTGTCATTTTAAATAAAAACTACAGTTCACAGATATGCTGATTCTAGGTGTGATTAGTTTGTTTTTTGTTATGTGGGTACACAAAGGTATGCAGTACCAATACCTTTGTTTAGACATCAGTTTTTTCATGCTCCTGTGCTAGACACTTTGTGGTAAGTACTGACACCTTTTTCCTAGAAAGAAAGCCCTGAATGTAATAATACAAAAGGTGGATCCAAAATTGGGCATGCAGTGCTGATTATGAAAAAAGCTCATCTTGCAAGCATGCATTGCCATTAATGCTAATCATAATTTGTGTTACATTGTTAGCAGCATGTTCCAGATACAGTGAGGAGAGGTGGCCGAGCCATTTGCCTCAATCTCTGAAAAACCTTTAGGTTTATTTTCAGACTGCATTGGTTTTTTAGATCTTTGGGTGTCATCTCTGAAGCTACAGTGCTTATGCTCTCTGTGAAACTCTAGGTAGGCAGACAGCCAGCCACACAGTGGACAGCAGATTAAATGCATAAAATCCAATGAAGACAGTTCTCTTACTTTTAATACCTTTTCAAAAAAATTATGTTCTTGGATGACATTTTGAGCACCTCTAGGGTTGTGTAAAAGTGAAGGACCTTTTTTTTATGCCACTGTTGCATCAGGCATATAATGCTAGACTCAAACTTCTTTGAGACCAATCAACACTCTTTGGGTGATGGGATCAGCATCAGGCCAGTCACATTTACTTCCTGCAACATTACCTGGTACCCATTTTAGGCTGTCGACCTGGGAGAAAAGGTTAAAAAATTTTTTTTATTTAAATCTGGCTTCATGTGAATTGGAACCTTAGACTTCGGGCCAGTTGGTGAGTGCCTAGCCACTGTGCTACCTCAGCTCCCTCTTATACTTTTTGGTGCATCTTGCTTTAGAGGAATTAAAGCTGGATGTACTTGTCAACAAATGACTCTGCTTGATTGTTTTGATTAGATGGTCAGATGTAATCATGAAGATACAACATCTGATGAAATGTGCACAAAATCCACAAAATATAATAGATTACTGCACCATTAAGGCTAACCTAGTCAATGATTGCCATGAAAATGCATTTTCTTTACAAAATAACACAGTTCTGATGTAAAGAACTACAACACTGCCAAGATCAAATTGAAACATGCATGGCACCAAAAGAAAAAGTGTTTTCTTTCTCCATTTATTAGCATCTTATTTTTTAATTGTGCTAAATTGCACAATTTTTTATTTTAATGGTTAATATGGTAAACTTTCTTACCTTGAATTAATTTTAGTGAAACAATTGTTAATGCTAGTAAGCAGTTGACATGAGAATTTAACAAATTCCATCTGCAGGTCTTGAAAAACTTGGGCTCTATTTTAGAAGCTGCTGGAAGTTCTTATGACAAAGGTTTGCACCAGTAATTAATTAAGACCCTAAATTTAAATAGTTCTGCTTGACATACAGATACATTTAACTCATTTTTGTATGTTTGGGTCCTTGTTCATGTGGTTTCATTGTTATTAATTATGTTTAAACTGCTTATTGGCATGATGAGACATTTAAAGATGATAACACTTAGCAAATGTTTTCATTGGTGTGTGAAGTGCTAATCCTTCAGATATTCTAACTAGGTAATGGCAGTTTAGTAGAGGGTCATCAATTAGTCACCTTTTCTAATCAAAAAGAATCCCTTAAATCATTCTAAAACGTCCCCTTTGTGGGTTCCAGGTCACCAGTTTGGGAGGGGGGGGGGAGGGGGAGAATAGACCCACTGCCCCTTTAACAAGCATGTTGTAAAAGACAACTGACTTTCCTTTGAAGTCAGAGGGCATCTGCCTGAGAGAGATGAGAAACCAGCAGTCTGCTTACTAATAAATCAGATCTGTAAAACGGTTGTGCATGCAAAGCTCAGGTTCTGGAACGAGACCAGAGTTCAGAAGTGGATAAACAGCGAGAACATTTTGCCAGAGTTTACAGTCAGTGAATGATAAGAATAAGATTCTGTAGCAACTTCATTAGTGGCAGTCAGCATATAATACTAGACCCATATATTATGGAGCAAATTGATGAAATAGTCAAAATCATATTGGCCATCTTTACTTTCACAGTTATATGAAATATTCTAGAAAAAACCCGGCCATCCATTGTGTTCATTTGTTTATCCAATTAAGCATCTTTGGAAAGATTTTTTTTTTTTTAGGATTGTGATTTTTTTTTTAGACATAGGGAATTAACTAAAAAATGACTGCATAAACAAAAACAAATATGTTATTCCCTAATCAGCTATTAAATGTGGAATTTGTAATCTTCTTTATTGCTGTGAACTCTATTTGCAGTTGTAAAAACAACAGTGTTACTGAAGAACATCAGTGATTATGCTGCAGTTAATGATGTGTATGCAAAATGTAAGTAAATCCACTGTCTATGCTTTACAAGTTATTTTGTGTGTGGTGAATACTACATGAAAGTTTTTCCTGTATTGTTTGAAAGTTATTTTATGAGGTTAATATTTATTGCCACTTTTTTCCTGTATAGGTTCTGGGGCTCCATATGTGTGAGTGTGTTGTGAAGACTACATTAAGGCTTTTCCTCTATTGTTTGAAAGTTATATTATGAGGTGAATTTTTGTCACCACTTTTTCAGTGTGGGTTCTGGGGCTGCATTGAGAGGGAGGGGAATAAAACCCAATGTCCCACTAACAGTATAACTAACTGTCCCCAAGAATATAAAGGCAGAAAGTCAGACCCTTTTTAAATAACATCTGGTTTAAAGCAAGGTAATGCTCTGTCCCCATTTCTTTTCAACTTGGCCCTGGAGAAAATTATAAGGAAATTGAAACACAAGTTTAATGTAGGAAAATCTACAAGAATACTTGTTTATGCAGATCACATTGATATCATTGGAGAAAATGAATTAGAGACTGTTAAAACACTGACTCTCTTAAAAGAATCAGCTCAGAAAATGGGAGTAGTTATCAATCAAGATAAGGCAGAATATGTGATCATAACTAGACAGGGAAAGGATATAAATTCCGGCCACATACAAGTCGATAATATTAAAATTAGACGATCGGAAACATATATGTACTTGGGTGCAAACTTCAACTGCTGCAATATGCTGAGAGAAGAAATACAGTCTAGAATACAATCTGCAAATAAAGTATACTGTGCCGTTCAACATCTGCTAAAGTCAAAGTGTCTGTCTTGCAACACCAAGATCAAAATATATAAAACGTTGATAAGACCAGTCGTTTTATATGGCTCTGAAACTAAGAGATGAATCCTTTTTACAAGTTTTTAAAATCAGAGTCTTACAACGAATCTTTGGACCCATCTAAGATACAAACAGCAGGGAATGGAGAGTGAGAGCAACAGTTAAATTCGTAATCTAAATCACAATTGATCACTGGCATCATGAGAGCTAATAGACTGTAATGGTTGGGGCATATTGAAAGAAAGTCAGATGACAGAGAAGTAAAAACTGTATACACAAGGGAGATGAATGTTCGTAGACCATGAGGCAGACCAAGAAGATGATGGAGAGACCTGCAAACACTTGGTGTCACAAACTGGAAAGAGAAGGCCAACCAGAGAGATGAATGGAGGCAGGTAATATCTGCAGCAATGAACCTCAAGGGCTTGGAATGCTGAAGAAAAAGAAGAAGTCCCCTAACAAGCATGTCCTAAAAAATCAAGTAATTAGGGGTGTTTCCTTCAAAGTCGGAGTGCATCTGCCTAATAGGTGATGAACCAACAGCCTGCATACAAATAAGAAAGATCTGTTAAATGGATGTGCACATAAAACTATCTTTGAATGCCATTTGATTCATTAAGGGTTTGATAATTGATAAAACAATGAGAGACACTAAAGTGGAATAACAAGTATATGGTCAAAGCTAGAATCCAATTGATCACACTGGGCTAGAATACACATTATCACTTTGATCTCTTTCTGGGTGCCATCTTCTTCTGCTTCCCTTCTTCTTTTACTGCTAATGATGTCAAGGGTGTTACATGGTTCTGGTTCTTGCTCAATACTAGACACTTAATACTGTTGTCAAGTTTCTTTGATCTCACCTTTTCACCTTGTTCTTTATCAGCCTCTGCTTTATGGCCTTCTTTTTTTATATGTGCTTGGTTTGGCACGACATCACAAGTCATGTTCTCCAGTTTTGGAAACCATTTTTTTTAAAGGTATTTTATTTATTTGAATATTTTTTCTATGCAAATTGTCTCTTTTTACTTAATTTCTGATATGATCCCTTCTGGTCACTCCTGCAGCCTTTCTCATACATCTCATTTCTGGAATATGTTAATTCTGGTAAATAAAGCATTCAAAACAGTAAGTCTCTCTCTCTCTCTGTTTCTCTGTGTGTGTCTGTCTGTCTGTCTGTCTGTCTCTCTCTCTTTCTCTCAGTATCTGTCACACAGTTTAGTCTGTGTCTTATTTTCAAATGTTAATGTTGTCTCTTCAGTATAAATTAATCTTTAGCATGCAGGTCATAGGTCATGTTATATCTTAAGCTCACTACTAGACTCATTAGCTTCTACTACAGCTCTGCATCATGTTTCTACTTATTTATGTAGTCTCCAACTGATTGCCCGGTCTGTTAGAACTTCGTGGACCAGGGAGTGATTAGTTCGTCCATCCAATTCATCAGGACGAAATTCTAAGAAAATTATTGTTGCCTAAAATTATCATCTCAGAAACTGGGTGCAGCCTATACACACATAAATGTACTATATAGAGCAGAGCCATGTTTGCACCTTTTGGCAACAATAAGTTTTCAAGGTTTGATATATCAGAAGCATCTGAATAAAGACACATTTGTGCCTACACTTGAATAATCTCTTTTATAAGACTAAGACCCTTTTTCACGCATTCACATGTATTGGGCATATAAGGCCAGACCTATATTTTATAGATTAAGTGACACTTTGTGGGGTATATGGTTGCCTTTACTTCCCAGAAGTTTACCTGATAATCATTTAAGTAATGCAAGTTGGTTGTGGGCCTATCCTCCATAAAACCACAGACTTCTTTATTTAGTTAGGGCAGTTTTGAAAAAAAAAAAGGCAGAAGAGTGGCTTAGTCTAACTGGCTTCAAGAAAAAGATTGCAAACCTAATTTAAGAAAGAACTGCATGACAAACCATATCCTTTTCTGATGGACCTGACACATTATTATGGTGAATTAATTTCCTTTTCTGTGTTTGTAGACTCATTTATTTATGAAATATATGTTTGTAGATTTTTCTGGTTCTAAACCTGCCAGAGCTGCTTTCCAAGTTGCAGCGCTACCTAAGGTAAAATATACTATTAATTGAATTAGGATGTCTTGAACATTAAGTTTACTGTATTTGCAAGTTAGAAATAGAACATTAGTCATGAGCTGCTAAAGAGCCACGCCTATTTTACAATTTTCTATTTGCAACAGTAATATGAGAAAGTCTGTGAAAGATTTGTTTCATATGTGTCTACACACGAAACCAACCCAAGAATGAGCGACATTAAAACTATGCAAAAGATAGTGTATTTATGTAAAATACAATATCACTGTTGTTAAGGATCATACCTTACTCTAGACGTGGCTTGTTGTTAGTTCGCTGACATCTCCACCTCTACAACCTATCTATACTAACTACATCTTAGGAGACTGTTCATCTTTATACTCAACCTATCATGACTCAAGCAGAATAGGAATTTGAGCCGCAGTTATCAGCTACTATTGTCCAGCATGTTATAGATTGGGGTGAGATTTTGGTGAAGAAATGTTTTATTGAGTGATAAAAGAGTGAGAAAAAAATAGTTTAACCCTGATGTCTTACACGCATGTCCACACATTCCCTCTCTAGACAGGTTTTTGTTTTGTAGGATTAAGAAAATACTGGTATGTTATTGTTACTTGAGCAACCCTGGTGTTTGAAAGTAGGTCACTTGGTCAACAGTTGGTGGGTTGTCACGATCGGTGGGTTGGAGCAGTGGCTGTATTTGTGGCTGATATATGTTGAGAGGAGTGGCTACCGACTTGCCTGCCAACCCAAAGATCATGAGTTTGGCTTCAAGCTTGACACAAACTCAAATAGGTACCAGGAAATATGTTTGGAAGGAAAGGCAACTGACATAATGCTGATCACATCACCTTTACAAGTAACTGGTCTAGTACCACATACCTAATCCTTATGAGTTAGGGACTGATATCATAGCACTTTGGACATTCCCAAAAATGCTCCATCCTTGTCTAAAACAGCAAGCACAGTTTAAATTTCAGGGGTACCAGTAACAGTCTGATTATGTGTCTGTCTCCCCCTTCCCTGAGTGCTGATGTGTCAGCCAGATTCCCTGGTCACTCTTGGCTGTACCATTTTCTTCAGACCATGGTGATCTGTTTGTGTCTCCACAGTTTACTCTCCCCAAAGGGCCCTTACAACATCAAGCTTATAAGATAATGCATCAGTAGTACTGAAAAGGTCCTTCACTTAATTATGTTTTAAAGGACTATTCACTTCTGTTCTTTTGTTGTTTCAAAGCTTTTGATTCTATACAATTTATCTCTACCTCACATATCAGTAGGTATGCGTGACTGGAAGTCCAGTGTAATGTTTTTAAACTCATTAGTTAAGCAGTGTTGAAATGCTCTTCCAACTAGGAAGATGGCTTTATATTTATTTGGGGTGCATTTATTATTATCTCTTTCGATACAGTGCAGTGCATGATATATTCCAAAATACTCTATGCCTCATATGTGTTTTAACTTTCTTTGTCTCAGGCAGAATTTCAGAGCCAACGGGAACTTATTTAATAATTATTTGTGGTTGCAGAATAGGATTTGATAACAACTTTCTTGAGTAAAAAACATTACAGTTAATTACTAGAAGGGACTTGATTATTACAACCGCTGTCTGGCACCCAAAAAAGTTTAATGTGTTTTGTTTCTGTCTATCGATGTAATTGTGTTTCCTTTTTTTTTTTAAACCTATCTTTCTGCCCTTCCACTTCAGGGGGCCAGTGTGGAGATTGAAGCTGTTGCAGTTGTAGGTGATGTTACTGATATCTGACTATATGATGGTACAACCCAGGCTGTGACCAGTAACTTGTAGTTCTTCCTGGAAACAGCTGTAAGTGACTTAACAGTGGTGCAATACTGCATTAAAGAGGGAGATTTACAGTAACCAAAGAAAACATGGTCTAGTGCCTTTTCTAGATATGTCATGTTCAGTTTGTGTTAGTGTCAAGATGTGAGATTATATTAGGTTATTGTTTTTTTTTTTTTTTAATGTTGTTAAATCATCACAATAATTAGATTGTTTGGTTCCTGTGTGGGTTCTGTGGTTTTTTTTTTTTTTCTTTCTTGGTTTTTTTTGGAAGGGTTAGCGTGCAAGGAATTTTGAAATTTATTGTGTTTGTACTTGCAATAATCTGTTATACTAACATTTTTTGCAGTTTTATTATAAACAGAATATGTATAAAACAAAAAGTCAAAAACGTAATTTGATATGACACTGATTTATGTGATTTTCCTGCATGTTCTTGTGAATAATGCTTGGGATTTTTCTGTTTGTTCTCTTTTTAATCACATAAGTTTCAATTGGTGGGGGGGGGGGGGGGGTGTGAATGTCATCATAAATTCAGCGGGGCACCACCAGAAAAGAGTTGAAAACCGCTGATCAATAGAATGATAATTATTTTACAAATAAGTTGGTTACATAAAATAGCACATATTTTGCATTTCATGACCACATTATCATCTGTGTCAGAACAGCAGCGTCAAAATCTAGCTTTACATGCCATAGTTGCTTTAATGTCCATGGTAAGATTTTGGAGATAACAGAAGAGCTCTGCATAATCTTTGTTCAGACAAAATGAAACCCAGATTATGTTCATAGACATTGTTTTGTCATCTCTTTATAAGCAGATTTATTAAGTATTGTTCAACAGATTTGGTTCAAGGATGCATTTTGAGTGTGCTTCAACACCCTCTCTTCAGCGTGGTGTCGACCACATAACCCCTTGAGTGCTGACTGCTCTATGCAGATATGTCTAGCATCAGATGACCAGTGTACAGATGACCTGAAGGGTCTTTTACTGAATTTTCTTTTTAAACCATGCTGCTGTAGAGTTGGTGAACAGTTATTGAACTCAGGGTGAAGCCATACATGTTTAAATATATTGTAGATGATATGTCTTGGTGTAACTAAATTCTATAAATATATATAAATTCTGTATTTACTTGTAATTTTAGTAGTGTTTATTGCCTGTAAATTGTCTTAGTCGAGGTTTCAACTTCACCGCACTCGCATTTTCCCATACATGCTCCGTTCCTGTGGCAGTGCAAATCAAATTAAATGTCCCTCACTGGTAAACAAAAAAATTAGTTGCGGAACAATCCAGAAATATGAGCACACAGTAAATGCAAATTTCAGTAAATTGTATGTTGGAACATGGCGATCGTGAAGACCGACCTGGACATTCATTGTGAGGCAACACAGTTGATAAATAGAGATGATGATTATTATTAGATTCTGAAAACAGATGATGAACAGAGTTGGAAAATGATATGACATTGGTTTCCAGAGGGATCATGGTTCTAATGGTTCATGATTAAAAGAAGTTTTTGTTTCCATCTAAGGGTTTACTACTATATTCTGTACATGTACTATTTTACTTAGTCGCTTCTCTTCAACCTTGGGGTGTAAAGTTTGTCAGAGAGAATGCCAGACTTCTCTGTCAGCAGTTTTCTTTCTTGCTTTGTTTCATTCCAGTCCTCTCCAGTCAGGAACTGTCGGATGTTGTTTTCCCAGCGGACCCTGGGTCGCCCTGGAGGTCTGGTTTCTGGTTCTTCGATAGATCCACTGCCTCCTTAACAAGAATGTCATAAGAGTCAACTGATTGGGTTTCCTTTGAAGTTGGAGTTCATCTGCCTGAAAGGCAAGAAACTGACAGTCTGCATACAAGTGAGCCATATCTGTAAAACGGAGATGCAGGCAAAAACTAAGGTTCTTGAATAAGATTAAAGTTCAGAAGTGGAGAAACAACCAGAACATTCTTCTGGAGTTTACAGCCGGTTTATCTTGTACCAGTAGATGGTACAGTTGTTAACTGGTGAGGAGAAACAGTGGCTATTTAATGGTTTTAGTTGAGTCATCTTTCATAAAAGATGAAACATTAGCATCAAGAACAGTAGTATAGAAATGAAGACCAACCTAACGCATGATAAAGAGCACACTGAAGATCTGTAAATATCACACCCTTTCCATTTAGAAGGAATACTTGATGTCTGTATTAGGCAGCAGTGGGTTTAAGAGTACAAAGTACCATTTCAGAGTTAGAATCTTATTTTCTTATGTACATTGTATTGTTTAAATGACGTGAGACTGGTAGCTTTCATTTGTGCACATCAAATTAAGCATCATAACCAGAATATAGGTTGTTTTCCAGTGTTATTTTAATCTGAATGTTTTCAAATTAAGATTCCAGAAATGTTCAAGGCATCACATGGACCCAGAGTTAAAGTCTTGTCCTTTCATGTTAGTATCATCATCATCATCATCATCATAAACCACTTCTGCCGTTAAGTGTCGTGGAGAGAAATAATTTGCGATCCAGTGCATGTTGGCTGCTACTGGCTATTGTTCATGTTAGCACTGCCTGAAAATGTTATTTGCCTACTGCCTAGACCAAGGGGGACTTAATTAAAAGTATATTATTGGTAATGTGTTTATATTGAGTTTGAGTTGTTTTTTTTTTTTTTATTACAGTGCAGATCTGAAAAGGAGAACTCACCAGGGACTCTAGAAATAGTTCTTCTTATTAGAAAGTTCTCTTATTCAGATAAGAAAAATTGCTGGGATACACCAATCGTTCTTCGCCACAGAAATTTGCCACATCCAAAATCGCTTTCATTGGTCTGCACTGTATAATTAAAAATGATATTGGAGAACAAAGAATGCACCTACCCCCCTTCCATCCCCACACACAAGCATGTCATGTTAGGTGAGTAATTAGGGGTTGCATGATGAATTAAGAATCAACATCACAGCACTTGGGAAACCCCCATAAGCGCTTCATCCCTATCTTCAGCAGCAAGCAAAGAGTTAAAATTCTGATGGTACCAGTAACTGTCTGATTGTATATCCGCTCGCCTTTTTCCTGAGTGTCGAGCATCGGCTAGATACCCTTGTAACTCCTCGCAGTGCCATTCTCCTCACACCATAATTATCTGTCTGTTCCTCGATACGGTTCACTCGCTCCCAAAGGGCCCTCACAACATCCATCTTATCATACATCAATTCACCACCAAGTGGTGCAGAACCGGCCAGTCTTTCTGTCTGCTCATTTCCCAACACACTGGCATTACTTGGAGAAAATATCCAAAGGATGCTTACTACCCTGGACCTCTGAAGTGAGTAATTAGAGGTGTTTCTTTCAAACTTAGAGTGTGTCTGGCTGAGAAACAAGGAATCAACAGTCTGCATACAAACATGTAAAACAGATGTGCATGATGCAAAACTCAAGATTAACATCCGGGAGTGGATGAGCAAACAGAACTTCTGACCGAGTTAACTGCCAAGTGTATGCAAAGAAGAATAAGATATTATGCATTTGTCTTTTCTGTATAAATAAAAGAACTTATTATCTGCATCAGAAAGAGATAATTCACATCCTTTGAGATGGGGGGAAACTGGAGCACAGTGTGACAATGGCAAAGCTGATGGGAAAGAACTGCTGTGGGAGACTAAGACTTCTTCATGTGTTCACTTACTAATTTACACAGACAAACAAGTTCTTGTGATAAACTTTACTGTTTTTAGGAGGTTCCTTTTATTTCTATACAACTTTGAGTGCAGTGTTGACTCAGTGGGCCGGTATTCGCTTCTTAATGGGCTGTACAAGGGAAATTCTTGCAGGACATGTTCTGTAGTCTGTACAGACAGTCCACAAGGGCACAAAGGTAAACTACTTAGACGTAGCTTGTGCATATGCTTGTTATGTCCTGTCCTGAGGCGTAGAATAATGACCTGCCCTTGCCATTCAAGTAAGTGGTAGTCATCTCTGACCAGATTCTGTTCACTTCTGAGAGACTAGATGGCCCTTTTCTTCTTAAAGTATGTTGCTGCATTCTCTTCCTGTTCACATCTTGTCTTTTTTCTTAGCAAATTTATCTGCGGTTTCATTTCCTGGTATATCACAGTGGAATGGTACCCACTGAAGTGCAGGGCACTTTTGGGCAGCTACCTTGCCAAGTTCAGATCTCAGTTGAGGGAATTTACCACTCTTGGGGGCTTTCACCAGCGATTCGCATCTGTGAAGATGACCACTTGATAGCAGTCAGAACTGGTGTTGTGTAACGTTTCGGTAGCCTGCTCCAGTGCTAGGATCTCTGCTGTCCAGTTGGAACAGAATTTACCAGTCGGTATATATTCTGTGTGGTGGTTGTTGTCTGGATATGGGAAACAGATGTCAGTACCCCCATTTTTAACCGCACTGGTTGCTGATCTATCTGTGTAAGCATGTATATCGACGACTGTTCTGGATAGTTTTTCTGGATCATACTAAGAGCAGTTGATCGTTTTTGAAGGTCACTGGACTTATCTCCAGCTGTGAGTCAGTATCTATATTAACTGTATTGTGCCATTGAGTTGCTCCCATATTGCATATGCTTCTAGCTCTGTAACTGTTTAGGCTAACTGGCACTTGTTTCCATATTCTGTCTTCCATGGTTGGAAAATCAAGGCCTAGTACAATATGCTCAGTTCGCCAATGGCGCCAAAAGGCTCTTTACTTGACCTGGTATCAGTAGCAAGCAAAAAGATTGGAATTTCAGAGGCCCGGCTGCTATACTTGGATGTCACTTTTGCTGAAAGAAAAAAAAAAAGAAACGAACCCTAATTTTATACTAGCCTGCTTATCGTTGGCTGGTCTGGATCAAGAGCACTTCAAAAACTTCCATGTTAAAATTATTCATCATACTGCTCTGCTTATCAGGACGCCAACACAAAGAAAACGGTGGAGGATGGAACACTGTCCCCTTAAATGTTTTATAGGGTCGCTCATTGGGACTTAGCATTATTTAAGTGCGTAATAATTTGATAATAATAATGTGCAAAAGGTTCAGATATCGCAGCCTAGTGGTAAACCAGGAGATAATGTGCCAGCCAGCCTTTTAAGTGGGAACGAAGAAGAAAAAAAAATTTCATCAGCCAACAAGCACTTGGTAGTCATCAGGCCATTACTTCCTAGGATATTTCTTATTACCGATTTGAGATGTGGTAGACCTGGGGGCAAAGGTAAATTTATTGCTAGGGATTCGAGCGATCCAACAGCAAGCGTACTTTAACCTTGGTAATGGTGCTACTATCTCCTATTGCTTAAGAAAGAAAATAGGGGCTTTTGAGCTGAAATGCTATAGAAAGATTCTCAGAATATATTGGGTGAAAAAGAGGAGAAATACTGACATCTTGAAAGATCTGAACATCAACAGATTGGAAAAAATAATAGCAGAAGGCATGATACCAGGAAGTAGGAGCAGGGGCCGACCAACACGAAGATGGGCACAGAATATAGGTAACTCCTTGAGTATGAAAGTACATGAGGTGGGAGAGCTGGCGAAAGACCGAGTTTCTTTTAGGCAGACCGTGATGAGAGCTACGTTTTGCAAAGGACCTGCTACATAATGATGAATGGTAGTTATGAACAATGACTGTCAACTTTTCAAAACAATGTACAGATTATGTCTAAACGATAAATGCAAACTCATCTCTTTATCTAACCTCTGACCGTGACGTGGCAATTATAACTTCCACTAAATTTCACTTGATAAGACTGCCAGTTTGGCTTTGCAAAATAACCTGCCAAAATACCATATATATATATATATATATATATATATACACACACACACGCACGCATACATATACGTACACACATATACGTACATATAGACATTAATTGCGTATCCTTTACATGACATTGCAGAACCAACCAAAGCATTTTTTGGGGTTGTTGATTTTTCTATGCAAATTTTACGTTCAGTAGTTTGACATGCATTAACAGTCGGCTCTTGATACCAGTGTCGAAATCAACGCAAAATGGCCTGCAGCTGAGATCGAACCCGGCATTACAAAGCGCGTACGTCACACTTTAGCCGCAGACGTCGGTGTGTGGGTGTGGTTTTTTTTCTTTCCTTTTTTTTTTTTTTTGAGAGAGAGAGAGAATACAAACGATTGCAATATATTACGTAGCAATGGAAACGTTAACATTTTTTAAGAGATAGGAGTTTTAAAAAAAAATGTTCGCATCTAAGATAAAATATTTCTTTCGAGAAAAGAGTATAAGGTAAAAAAAAATATTCAAAACTTTTTTTTTAATTTACATTTTCGTACTTAAAGGATAAAATGTGTTTATTAGTTAGTTAGTTAGCTAGCTAACTAGTTAGCCAGCTAGTTAGCCGACAGATTATTCTCATGTTACTTTGAACCATTTCGTCCATAAGTGCTCAGATCCCCTCCTTAGTAAATCCCGCAGCGTGTAGCGGCTCGAGACACCAGTTCTGTGTTGATTTTTTAAAATTATTCTTTGGCTTCCTGTATAGCAGCACTCTTGTCTGGCCAGACCTTCTTAACATGTTCTTGTAGTCTGGTCATGGTTGCAGATTCATAGTCATTACTCGAATCTCGCAAACGTCTTATTTCTTAGAACATTCAGAATAGCAGCATGGTCCATTGCTCTTATGCCCTCCACAGTAGCTTAACCTGCAAACCGATCAGTTTGCTAATTTCTTTGAATACCTGCCTGCCCTGGCACAAATATGAAACAAAAATGCCAGTCTCGACCGTTCTAGAGACTCAAACCACTGTCTTGGAACCCAGCCCTTCTCTGTCTTCCTGAGCATACTCATTGAGTTACAGAGAAAGCATGCGCTCGAAAAGGCCTGTGTCTTCAGTTATATTATTGCTTTGGGGACTGTCATTACCTCCACAGTCAGACTACTTGTGGTCTGGGCAACAGTACCAGATAAAATATGTGGAAGGCTCGATCCCATTGCTTGGAAAGACTGGTTAAGTGGGGGGGGGGGGGACAGCCCTGTTAGTGTGAAATGGCAACGTACCATATCGGCATGCACACAATGAAACAGATACTTATTTAAATGCTTCGGCCACATTTACAGTCACAACCCCAATAAAAACCACACTGGGGTGGGGGGGGGGATGTCACAGCGCAGCGAGTTTGCAGACAGTGTTTCAAGGAAAGGATAACGTAAAGAGTTGTACGAACAGTAGTGTGTCAAAATATACAGACATTAGAGACAGGGTGGGAGATTCGTTACCGCCTGTTTTCATGGCTGAGACGGCATTTAGTAGTCAGTTGACATGTATTTACAAGAATGTAGCAGGATGTTTGCTGGGCGCTACTCTAACAATTCGAGCATAACTGTAGCTTTCTGGATTTAAAAACGACTTTATATCTTAAAGCTGTTCCTGTAACACTTGTATGAAATTGCTCTTGACGTACGTGGACAATGGGGGAAGAGGAATTAATTCATTTAATTCTTTCACTACCAGAAGTTGTTACTTTGTGTTGTCCATTGAACAATGAACAATGTGTACCACAGATCGTAAGTTGAGTTGAGTTGAGTTGAGCTGAGTCAAGAATTGACATCACAGCATGCGGGACATTCCCAAGCGTACTCCGTCCTCATCTTCAGCAACAAGCGCAAAGTTCCAGAACTGATGGTACCGGTCACAATCTGGTTGTATGTCCGTCTTGCCTTTCTTCTGAGTGTAGTGAGCCGGCCAAATCCTCTGGTTACACCCAGGTGCCTCATTCTCTCCACACCAGGCCAAATTAATCTTATTTCTCTACTGATTCCGTTGCTTGTTCCCAAAGAGCCTTGACCATATCTGCCTTGTCATGTATCAATTCACCACCCAGAGGTCTAGATACCGCCAGTCTGTGTGCCTGTTCATTACCCACTACGACGGCATTGCATTAAGAAAAGATCCAAAGTGTTCTCACAACCCGTGACCTTCCCAGTGAAGCTTGCCATTCTGCTCGAAGCGAAAGGTCGTTATTTACCGCGAAACTAATAAATACTGGGTATAAATGAGCTGAAATAATTACCCTGCTGAAAACAAAAGAGTTAAAGTAACGATTGGGTTAGGGTGGCTTAATTGGGTCGGGGGGGGGGAGGGGGGGCTTTGAAAACAGAAGTTCAGAGAAGCTTATATTGTACGAGATGACTGATAAAGGTAGGGTGAGATGACTGGTACTGAACGAGCTACATTCTGAGGATTTTGCAAAAGATTTAAACGGGAAAAAAAGAGGGGGGGGGGGGGGTTCACAATTAAAAAAAAATCGCGAGTTACTGTCAAAGAGACAACATACACTCACCCTCTATAAAACATAGAAGCCGAAATAGCGCAGTGGCCAGCCACTTGCCTGACAGTCCGGAGATATTTGGTTGGATTTGGCATCAAAGCAGATTTTCATAACTAACAATAGCTTCCAAGTCCCCTCTATCCTAAAATTCGTACTATGCATTGTCATATGAAGTAAAGGTAGACGGCAATACTTTGACCACATCATCCTTCGAGTGCAAACTGGTCTACAATAATATGAGTCTAGCCCCATATGCCGGATGCACTAAAGTAATTACGGGTCTTGTATTTTTTTTTTTTTTTTATACGTTTAAAGAACTTAGTCTTGGTGTGTTGCAAGTCACAATTAAAGGTAGGATGTGTTATACATCTTCTCCAGCATACTATACACTTGTGGTTCATGGTGCAGATACCACCCGCCTCCATCTATCGCTTTCATTGGCCTTTCCTTTCCGGTTAGTGACAGGAAGTATTTGAAGGTCTGTCTGTATATTAAGCTCAAATCCGACTTCTTGCTCTGCTTGGAGATTTACTTCATTTCAACTCTTGTGTATACAGTGTGTGTGTGTGTGTGTGTGTGTGTGTGTGTGTGTGCGCGCGCGCGCGCGCGCGCGCGTGGAGCATGGCCGGCTAAAGACGACCTTGGTGTGTGTGTTTAATTTGTTATCTGTCATTCTCTTTTTTATGGCCCAAACATTGCAGTAAAATGGATTGCGCATGTTCAGGTCAAACAAGAACACGGTTCCTCCACGGTACGCTGCATGGGTCATGGAGAGCTAAGAGAAATTTAAATGATTGAGGAAGGGAGGTGGGGATGGTTGGGGGGGGGGGGCTTGTGTGTTCTCTGACTCCATTTGAGGGGTGGTAGTAGACTAGCTTTATCACAACCACGGCCTTCTCTATTTATATACAGACGGACCTGATCACAACACAACAAATCAACAGCGCTTTCAATGACGATCTTAGATGAAGAATTTATTTGGCTCAACCAAAAGCCAAAATCTGGCACACCATGTCCAAGTTGGCAACAGTATAAAGTCCGACAAGCCAAGGCCGAAGGGGTCACTGGGGGTCATCGTGTTGTCTGCTGCAAGCCGGCTCCAAGTCTTCTCTTCTCTAAGTGCTAACGTGTAACATAAAATGGCAGCTAATATTGTCAGGAAAGTTATTCAGACGTCCAAGGGTTCCAAGAATATTGGGCCTTTTAGGTTAGTTCAGTACATTGTGCTTGTTAAATTAAACATGAAGTACATGTTAGTATTTTTTTTTCCAGGCTACTGTATTGTACACAGACAACATCATGCATACCGCCCATTTTGGGGGGGATTTTGTAGCAAACTACGAAGAGAAACCTGGCCGCAAGAGCAAAGTGTGCAAAGTAGGCTATGGGGAACGACGAAGGACCAGCAACTGACATGCTAAGTAGTAGCAAACGTAGACAGTAGTATGGGATGACCTAAAGTCCAAAGTCACATCGGTCCTATAGGACACACTTTCTTTCAGCTTTTATTTATATCTGACCTTAAGTCATCAGTTTGCCTTTCTGCGGTTCAAAATATGATCTCCTCATGTAGATTTAAAACACGCAGCTATGACCCCCAAGAGGTGATATCATGTACTAGGAGTAGGTGCTGCGAATAGAACAAATTAGTGACACACGCTGTGTCAGGAGTCCTACTGTATGTTTTTGAGCCACACAAGGAATGCATAAAAAAGGTCGTAACTAAGCGTCCATTAGTCTAGGTGTTATGAATACAGTTTCACAGTTCCAATATACCAGGGTTCACAATCAGTTGCGGGCTGTTTGGTAGCAGACTGCTTTGCGTCAATTTGGGCAACAGTATGAAGTGTGAATTCTATAGAAAACTATGGCCAACCACTGACTGTCAAATTCCCTGACAAAAAGCACAAACAGCCAGCATGTAATGGGGTAACTGTGTGTCCTGTAAAAAAAGTGCTATTAACTTTTTAAACCTACAGAAATGTCCTAAGTGTAAGGTTAGGATGAAAACTGCTGCCTCAACTTATACAAATGTTTGCTGCAAATCCAGCCAATTTTAATTAACTTTCCAAGGGCTTGGTGTCAGTTATTTGAGGGTCTATGCTCCATTGTGAGATTTAAAAAAAAAAAAAAAAAAAAAAAAAAAAACAGCAAACAGAATTACTCTTATTGATTAAACTTTTAAATTATGTGGAAATGGCAGAGATATGGTTTTGTAAATGAATTATGAGAACACACCGGTTAGTGCTCTTGGCAACCAAGGAAATACACTAATGTTTGTTGTGTAATTAGGGGCTGGGAAAGGGGTCACTGTGATGAAGTGGTTAGGCCTTTTGCCTCATGCTGTGAAGGTTTTGAGTTTGGTTTTAGACTCCTTTGGTTTGTAAGTAGCTGTGCTTTGAAGATCCCTAAGGTCGTTGCTTGAGCTACTGAAGTCATGCTTTGTGAAGTGCTGTCATGGGTGATCAGCTATTTTGCGAAGAGAGACATTATGGAATAAATCTGGCATAATGAAGTGATATGTTACCTGTAATCCATGTCTGTTTCGGTCATGAGTTTGTTGCCTCTGTCATAGAGTGAATATGAGTTTTTTTTTACCTTTGTCATAAAGTAGTTATAAGTTTGTTACTTATTCTGTTTTAGAGTATTAATGGGCGATGAGTTTGTTACCTCTGCCATAGAGAAGTTATCTTTGTCATAGAGTAATGATGAGTTTGTTACCTCTGTCATAGAGTAGTGATGAGTTTTATTAACTCTTTCATAGAATAGTGATGAGTTTGTTACCTCTGTCATAGAGTAGTGATGAGTTTGTTACCTCTTTAATAGAGTAATAATGGAGTTTGTTACCTCTGTCATAGAGTAGTGATGAGTTTATTACCTCTTCATAGAATAGTGATGAGTTTGTTACCTCCATAAGAGATATTCTAATTGAAAAGTAATGTGGCCCTTTTTTTTTTTTATTGTGCAGCCAAGCAATTCAGGTCAATGATACCTTGTACATCTCGGGTCAGATTGGTGCTGTTCCAGAGACCATGGAGCTAGTTCCAGGAGGTGCTGTAGCAGAAGTTGATCAGGTAATTATGTGCTTTTTTTAAACTAACTCATGTAAAGATGAAATAGATTTATTATATTTTTTGCAGTCCATGCAGATGGCAAAATTCTTGAGAAAGTAAACTAACACAACTATCCTGGAACAGTTTTAACATCTGATGACCATGAGCCTTGCAGAGATTAGAACAAGAATCTACATGGCATAATGTGGCCCTTAGCAAGATCTGATGACCATGAGCCTTGCAGAGATTAGAACAAGAATCTACATGGCATAATGTGGCCTTTAGCAAGATCTGATGACCAAGAGCCTTGCAGAGATTAGAACAAGAATCGACATGACATAGTGTGACCTTTAGCAAGATCTGATGACCGTGAGCCTTGCAGAGATTAGAACAAGAATCGACATGACATAGTGTGACCTTTAGCAAGATCTGATGACCATGAGCCTTGCAGAGATTAGAACAAGAATCTACATGGCATAATGTGGCCCTTAGCAAGATCTGATGACCGTGAGCCTTGCAGAGATTAGAACAAGAATCGACATGGCATAATGTGGCCCTTAGCAAGATCTGATGACCATGAGCCTTGCAGAGATTAGAACAAGAATCTACATGACATAGTGTGACCTTTAGCAAGATCTGATGACCATGAGCCTTGCAGAGATTAGAACAAGAATCTACATGGCATAATGTGGCCCTTAGCAAGATCTGATGACCGTGAGCCTTGCAGAGATTAGAACAAGAATCGACATGACATAGTGTGACCTTTAGCAAGATCTGATGACCATGAGCCTTGCAGAGATTAGAACAAGAATCGACATGACATAGTGTGACCTTTAGCAAGATCTGATGACCATGAGCCTTGCAGAGATTAGAACAAGAATCGACATGGCATAATGTGGCCTTTAGCAAGATCTGATGACCAAGAGCCTTGCAGAGATTAGAACAAGAATTGACATGACATAGTGTGACCTTTAGCAAGATCTGATGACCAAGAGCCTTGCAGAGATTAGAACAAGAATCGACATGACATAGTGTGACCTTTAGCAAGATCTGATGACCATGAGCCTTGCAGAGATTAGAACAAGAATCGACGTGGCTTAGTGTGGCCTTTAGCAAGTTGCACAAGATACTCATCAGTAAGAAGATGTCAACTGCAGTGAGAGAAAGAGTGTTGGAGGGCCATATAGAACCTGTTTTGTTATATGCATAGGAGACATGGACAGTCAGCAGTCAAGCTGAAAAACATTTACTCGAACTAGAGATATGGTTTTTGTCATAGGAGGCAGCTAATTAGGGATGTTTCCTTCGAAGTCGGAGTGTATTTGCCTGAGAGGCTAGGAATCAATAGCCTGCATACAGATAAGACAGATCTGTCAAACTGATGGGCATGAGAAACTTAATTTGTGGAACAACACCAAAGTATAGAACTTTTCACCAGTGAACGTGAAGAAGAAAAAGGAGTTAAATAACTTGGTGAAACAAGTGAGGAGCATATCATGAATGATCTTCCCAGGACATGTGGAATTGAGGGGCAGTGAACAAACCTGTAAACTGGCTGCTGCGAATCCTCTGGTCAAGTGGGTGTGGTGAAGGCTGTCTTCCATCGAGCGGATAGGGCAGCAGAACAAAAGAGTTTTCACACCTGGGAAGACGGATTCAGGAGAATAGTGAACAGAAGCTTTTGACAATACTCTTCATCTAAAAGAAAACATAGGACTATCATTAGTACCATAGGCATGGAAACTGTTCATTAGCTATTTGGGTAAGGGAAACAATGTACGGAAGGGAATGTTCTGAGTACGCTTATACTGATGTTTGAACAAAAGTTGACACTAAATAGTTTTCCCCAGCTTATAATGTCTACATTGCAATACAGTTGTTTGTCTTTAAATTAAATTAATTACTGCAACAGATGTTTTTGCCAATGTGTACAGTATCTGTTTTTTAATGTGTAGGTATTAAAAAATATTGGAGCCATTTTGGAAGCAGCTGGTACCTCCTATGACAAAGGTTAGTGAGCATGTTTGTCTTGTAAAATATTGAATGACAGGTAATTCATCCAACAGGATGCTCAGCAAGGGGAAAAGTTGAGTGTTCAGTGAATTTGTTGATACCAGCTCAATTGTAGTTACCCCTTTTTCTTCACTTGTTGATGAAATGACATTGACAGTTTATACAGTCCAGGTTTGAGTATAAGACAATGACAGTGACATTAAGTGTCAAATGTTGAGTGATAAACTGTCTTACCAAGGACAAAACTGCCTGTTACCCACAAATAACTATAAATGATGAAGAAATTGAAAATGACACAAACTTTGACAATCTAGGCTCCATAATAAAGAGACTTTTCAGTGAAGGTCAAAAGGAGGATGGGCCATAACAATACAAAATTAAACGACATTGAAAGCCTGTGGTTAAGCATCAGCAAGGAGAATCAAAGTTAAAATTTTGAGAGCATGGATCTTCCCTGTAGTAAAGAAAGATAATAGGGGCTTTTGATCTATAATGCTATAGAAAGATTCTAAGAATACCATGGACCTAAGAAGAAAAGCAAATACTCACAATCTAAAAGATCTGAAACTAAAGAAGATTGGCTAAAAAACAGTGTCTTGTGTCAGTCAGCAGATGAAATATTTTGGCCATATCAAGCATCATGCAGATTTGAAAAAAATAATAGCAGGAGGGGGGGGGGGGGGGCCAAGGGTTGACTGGCATGAAGGTGCTCACGGGATAGAAGAGACTCCTTGGGTATGAAAGTGCATGAGGTGGGAAAAAGAACTGCTACATGATGATGATGATAAGTGCAAACAGCAAGTTAGACAAATTAATGGATCCCTTGAGGTGCTTAACCCTACCAGACGGCTGGCCCGACTTTCCGGGAATTTCCTAACCTGCCGCTATACCGCTGGTCCACTTTTCCGAGAATTTATGTAGTACGTGAAAAATATGCGTCACAGACTAAAAATAACCAGCCAATCGCCGTCAGACTTCATTGTTAGTCATTGCGAACGACTTCCTACGTGTGTTGAGATTTCTTTGTGTGGTTTGATGTGAAAAAAATTCGGAAAATTCTCAATGAAACGAGCCGCTTTGACAAGAAAGTGACGTAGGTCTAGGCTTTTCACAGTCCAACAGGTGATCGATACTTTGGTTAATTCAGACTGTGAATATGTTCATGAAGAATACGTTCCCAGTTGAAGTGACACAGTCAGTGAGAGCTAGAGTGAGGAGGAGAATTATGAAAATTATAGATTTAAAACTAGATCGATAGTAAGAGAAGGAGGTGTGTCCCTCAAACAGCAACATCTGGTACTTACTTTGTGAAACAAGACTGATCCTACTAGGTGGATTGGCACACAAAGGTGGAAGATTGACGCTAGATGAAAGGTAAACCTGTTTTCTACAATGTCTCCAAGTTTTATCTTATTCTAACCACTTGTTTGCATGTAACTAATTTTTTTGTACATCATGTTCGTTTTTTCGTGTTAGTGCCCAGGAGCTCAGGTTATAGGGACAGTTAGGTTCAGGGCCTCAGGCCTGGTAGGGTTAAACAGCGAGCAGAGTGCTAGAGGATTGCTAGGTAATGTGTTCAACATCACACCAGCAGTCTTTACCTTCTATAAATTTTCCTGGTATTCATTTAAGTGTTGCTTCTTTAAAATCCTTGTAATCATTATTAGGATTAACAACAGCTTATGACTTGACAGTATCAAATTATATCATGGTTACAACATAATCAGCAACAGTCATAAAACAATGTGAACATGCACTGGCATTCACTCAAGACTGCTTGTTTTCTTTCACTAACAGTTGTCAAAGCCACAGTGTTGCTAAAGGATATGAATGACTTTACTGCTGTTAATGAAGTCTATGGGAAGTGTAAGTAACTGATTATTGTTTGTTAAGTGTATGCTTTCTTTATGTCAGGTGTTGAATAATTTGTTTTTCTTTTAGCTATGTTTGAAGAACTAAATATTGCACACACTGTGACTAGAAGGCTGAATAGAGAGAATGGAAAGGATGTGCTCAAATACAACACAACATTTTGACCAAAGTCTTTATCAGCATGATACTAAATACAGCACAAACTGATTAGAATAGTCAACAGACAAGACAGAAGTTGTTTTTTTTTTTTTAGAGTAAAGAAGGCAAACTGAGAGAGGTATCACGCTGCACGGGCAACTCATGGTCTTACAATATAGCCCAGGCTTTGTGCTATGGAGAAGTAACTCCTAGTTATGTCATAAGATGTTTGAAAAAGAAATGATAAACAAATTGAAAGTATTGATCGATACTCATAGATGCTGCCTCAGGTGTATAAGTATAATGATAGACCTGGCTGATAACACTTTTTTAGGGGAGATATTTCGTCATGATTTAAAGTGTAGACAACAGGTTTTGATCTCTACAGTAACTGTATCTTTATATTGTTATGTTGTCTATTTGGAGGCAACATGTTTTAATCTATACAGTAATTGTATCTTTGGATTGTTATGTTGTCTACTTGGAGGCAACATGTTTTAATCTATACAGTAATTGTATCTTTGGATTGTTGTATTGTCTCTTTGGAGGCAACATGTTTTAATCTATACAGTAACTGCATCTTTGGATTGTTATATTGTCTCTTTGGAGGCAACATGTTTTAATCTAAATAGTAACTGCATCTTTGGATTGTTATATTGTCTCTTTGGAGGCAACATGTTTTAATCCATACAGTAACTGCATCTTTGGATTGTTATGTCTGTTTGGAGGCAACATGTTTTAATCTATACAGTAATTGTATCTTTGGATTGTTGTATTGTCTCTTTGGAGGCAACATGTTTTAATATATACAGTAATTGTATCTTTGGATTGTTATATTGTCTCTTTGGAGGCAACATGTTTTAATCTATATAGTAATTGTATCTCTGGATTTTTATATTGTCTAGTTTCTCCTTCTATCTCTGCTTCTTTTCTATGCATTTGTGACTGCCAGTCAGTAATTTCAGTTTGTTTATCATGCTATTTAAATAGTCTTGAGGATTCTCCAGCAATTTATAGAAGAAGATAGTTTGCCATTGCTTTCCTTCTTGGCAGTGACTATACTGGTTGGGTGGCAGTAGTGTAATGCTCACCACCATCAGAGCTCTTGGGGCCATAACCAATAACTGTTGGCTGCTCTTGAGCTGTCCACTACTTTTGTTCCTATAGCTCTGTTACACTGATGGTTGGGGGGTGGGAGGTGGTGGGGGGGGGGGGGACTAAACATATTCTCCACCTTGCCAAGGGAGGGCTTAGGATTAGATCAGGGGACTCCCCCGTGTGGGTTCCGGGGCCCCATTGTGGGGAAAACAAGAATAGATCCACCGCCTCCCCAAAAGCATGTCGTAAGAGTCGACTAATTGGGGAGCTTCCTTTGAAGTCCGAGTGCATCTGCCGGAGAGGCAAGGAACCAACAGTCTGTATTCAAGAGAATGTGATCTGTAAAACTGATGCACACGCAACACTCAGGTTCTGGAGCAGGACTGCAGTTCAGTAGTGGACGAGCAACCAAAACCTTCCGCCAGAGTTTACAGCTGGTGAACGCGAAGAAGAAGAAGACGATCAGGGGACTGTATCTGAAAAAAAAGTTTAGGACAAGGATCATGGTAAAACTTGAGCTCAAGGTTTCAGAGGATTTAAAACCAGCAAGCTAAAGGCGCACACATATCTGATGTTTGCTCTAGTTTTCATCATGACGGCCACTTTAACTTTTAAGAACATTTCCTAGTAATTTTTTTAATCTACCTAAATCTGTCCAATAAGTCAACATGTTGGCATATTTGCCACTCCACTACTATTGGCTACAGTTGCAATTCTTACTGAAAACAGAAAACTGTTTTATATTGTACTATACACAGGCATCTTAGGCGCTGCAAGTCCGACTCATAATTCTGACGTACCGTGATCGAAACCCACTGCTGGCTGTGTGGATTTTTATCATGGTATGGGGCATTGCAGGTCGACCCAGCCTAAAATGGGTACCAGGATGTAAGTCCTGGGGAAGAAAAGACGGCCGCTGTAATGCCGACCACATTACCCACCTAGTGTCAATTGGTGTGTAAAAATATGGGTGTTCTTCCCATATGCCCAATGCGCCTAAGCGTGAACAGGGATCTTTACTTTTACTTACTTTACAGTCATGGGAATCTCAGCCCATGGTGATGGTGAGTATGACTAGCAAGAGCTGCTGATGTTGAGAAAGGTTTTCCAAGACTAATTAAAGCCAGGGATGAAGTTCCTTCTCCATAGCACAAAGCCTGGGCTATATTGTAAGACCATGAGTTGCCCATGCAATGTAATCCCTCTCTCACTTTGCCTTCTTTACTCCAAAAAAAAAGATAACACCAATGCATAGCTGCCATTGACTACCTAATAAATTAGATTTATGATAGTTGATTGACTGATTGGCAACTTTCCGTCTTTCCAGACAACAGTGTTATACTGCGCTATGAGGAGACATGGCACTCACAGCCCATGGGAATAACGAGTGTGACTAGCAAGACTAGACCGCATTGAGAAAAGATTATTGTCTACATTTGTGTTTAGTCTGTTTCTTCTCAGACTCTCAGCTCTCATCCTTTCTGCAATAATTTCTTTCTTCATTCCATTCCTGATGCGCCCTGAACCTTCATAGATAGAGCATTGAGAAGACTGTTGTAGATGTTATGAAGGAAATATGTAATATAACTACTATTAATGTTTCCATCGATGAGTATATTTTAGATAAGAAATATTTAAATGTTAAACTATTTTTTTTTTTTTTAATTTTTAATTGTAGATTTTACCAACAGAAGGCCTGCCAGAGTTTGTTATCAAGTTGCAGCTCTGCCGAAGGTATAAGAACAAGTATTTTGTTTACATGCTTTATTAATGGTTACAAATAGTAGATTTTAAAATGTGGTTCAGAAATGGTGTGAGAATAAATACCCCCCCCCCCTTCTCCCACAAAAAGGTCACCAAAAATGACACAGAGAATATAATGAGAGGCTGGTGAATAAGATGGGGAGGGCATCGAGTGAGCTGCAAGGGATGGGCTACTTGACAAGTCGTTTGAGAGCTTGCAGAACTGCTACCAGGTTTGACACAACGGTGACCCAAATGTCAATCCAACAGGAACAAATCCCAGCTCCCTGTTCAGCCTTATAAGAGGGTTATATTTGGGACTCTGTGTGCTACTCCCAGTACTACCTTGATATATCCTGCTATCCTTTGAGGGTGAGGGATAAAGGGTAGAAGAAAAAAAGAAGGCATTGGTACAGATTTCATCATTATTCTGTTGTCATTTTTACCCCAAGTAGGGCTCACAGTCAACTCCTCCAGTCCATCATATTTGTCCTTTCTCAATAACAGTTATATGAACAGGCGGACAGACAACTTGGTGGAATACTGATACATTCGAAGGAGCAGATGGATCACCCCAGTCTGGTGAGATTGATGCAGTTAAGGGGTGACGAGAGGTTCTGGCAGAAGCTCGAGGCTCAGAGGAAAGGCAAGACTGACGTTCAATCAGAAAGCTACTGGCACCATTAGTATCGGAACTCTTCGCTGGCTGCTGAAGATGGGGACGGAGCACTTATGGGAATGCCCCGAGTGCTGTGATGTCGGTTCTTGAATCAAATCAAAACAAATAACAGTTGTAAAATGTCTCTTGGACATCTTGCTTTCTCAAGTGATTTCTGTGCTGTTACACAGACTGTGTGGTGTTCCACTGTCTGCAGCTCCTCAGGATTTGCCCTATATATCACTTTCATCTTGCGTGGTCTCGAGGCATCGTGTCCGCCTCGAGTGCTAGAGGTTCTAGATTCAATCCCCGGTAAGGACTGGGATTTCTTCACGTGGACTTGGACTACCCCCTGGTCTCTGGGTAGTGAGATCGGGCGTCCATGTGCATTGTCGCGCAAGTAAAAAATCCCTTGGCAGTTGGAAATCAAAAAGAGTAGCCTAACGGCACTGCCAGTGCAAAATTTGGAGTTAAAAATCTACCCAAATATTTCAGGATCCTCGCTGGTGCTACAGAGCCTGTGCACTGTGCTGAGCTTCTTTAGACTCAGACTTGAGTTTGAAGAAAAACAGAGCACTTATGGATTACTACCTGTGAGCCATGATGTTGATCTGTTGTTCAAAACCTCAGAACCTGTCTTATAACTGTTGATACCAGCAAACCAGCAATTGCCCAAACATTTCTCTGATTTCTTCAACTTTTGTTCATACATTTCTTTAGGCATTTGCTTTTGACTGCATTTAGCTTTCTCTTTACTGGTTTTCCAACTTTGACTAGCATTTGTTCAAACTTAAATAATGTTACAATATTTTACTTGGTTTTAACAATATACAATTGGAGTTTCTACATTTTGTCTATGATTTTCAAAACTGCTGTTGCCTTGCAAATCTGTATTGTAATTTCTTTCTTTGTGTCTCCTGGGCCTCAAATTTGCTCTTTATACGGGTAAACTGATCTGTCACTTTTGTTCTTTTTATCACCAACCTCACACCTGCTAAATCTGGTATTTGTGTCTTTAATATATTTATCTTTTCATAATTGAAATCTAGATCGTTCAATTGTATGTTTTCCATCCACTCAACATTATTTCATTTTTTCCTTTTTTTTCCCTTCTTTTGTCATCTCACTGATACCAGGTTGTAACCCAGTGTCGTGGTTTTCTGTATTTACCTTACGCTTCTCTAGTGGCTTGGCTGATGGATTTGTTCATATTTTTTGCAAATTCCAGCTACACCACTTCTTCCTCTCTCTCTCTCTCTTGGTCTTCCCCTCACCTTCTCTTAGATGTTCTGCTGTGAAATGTCTCATCTGCTGTTTGGTCTGGTGCATTCTCACTAGATGGTCGAACCATTTAAGTCATTGTTAGTGACCTTGCGGAGACAGCACATTTCACATAAAGTTATTTTCTGTTCTAGTGCCCTGTTCATTGTCCATGTTCGGCACTGATAAAGATGCTATTAATAATTTGCTGTTTTGTTGGAAGGGAGGCATTTGGGTGTCTAAGCAGTGGGGCTAATTGGTAGGTGACAGCATTTGCCTTCTATAATCTGGCTTCTATCTCCCTATCGCCTCTGTCATCCTTTGTAAATATGCTTCCTAGATATTATGTTTCCTACTTATTCTCATTACCTCAGTTTTCACGGTGTTGATCCTTATATCACACTTTTTTCAGGTTTGGTGTTAGGAGTCAGTATAGTGTTGTAAATTCTGTTCTTGGTGGTGTATTAGACATTGATCGTCTGCAAAAAGAAGTTCTTTGATTTCTTAAGTGTCTGCATTTGCCTCCTGTGTAATTCTGTCCAGGTGACAGTAAGTAATGAATGGCGATATTGAGAGGACTCATCCCTGTCTGACACCTGATGAGATGATTGTTTCATCACCGTCAAAAGTTATGCCAAATAACGACTGATAACAATACAGACCTGTTTCTCTCCAGGTTCAGATTAGTTTTTATATAATGCATCTGCCAACACAGTCTCCAGTGTCAGTGAAGTTAGAAGTACTTGTTATACAGCTTAGCGACCGAGGTATTGTCATCTCCTTCTTATTCAGATTGATCATACCCTCACGTGGGTTCTAGGATCATATTTTGGGGGGAGGGGGGGGGGGTGTTATAACCCTAAAAGCACATTGTGAAAGATGACTAATTATAATACTGGACCGAAAGATGCAGATATCACAGCCTAGCTGTAAACCATATGCAGTGTGCCAACACTGTTTGCTTTTTGAAGAGCAAATGCTGAAGAAGAATATTGATCATCACAAATGCTGTATTTGCTGTTATAATTCTTTGATAATTTCTTCCACAGGGAGCAAATGTAGAGATTGAAGCTGTTGCTGTTGTAGGAAATGTGATTGATGCCTGAACCTCCACTGTATCAACAATGTTTCATCATTAAATGGAACCATACATTGTCTTAAAATCGTGGATACATGAGCTGTAGTGCATGTCAGTTTCATTTTCTAAACTACTTCTGTATGCATAAACACAACATTGAAAGGTCTCATGAAACTTATAATTTGAATCAGACCAGCCACCAAGGAAGAAACAGCTAACCAAAACTATGCTGACAAGACAGAACAGATACTGATATAAGAAGTTGATTCCGGTGGTGTTTGTATGTACAGTTCATATATAACCAGAATACAGAAAGGCTTATATTTGACCAAATCACATCTTTCGTTGTTTATAGGTTTATACCTTACTAAGAGGTAACTTAGCACAATACAGATTTTGACTAGAAAGTTCGCCGGAGAGAATGAAAAACACATGCACAAATACAACCAACTGTTTTGACTAGTCTATCAATGAGAAGTTTATACCATACCATGATGCTATTAAATCTACCATGTATTTTGTCAGGGAAGACTGAGACATTAAGACTTTGTCAAGTTAACTGAAACACAATGTCATGTCAAATATTAAATTTTTGCTTCCACTACAAACAGTTTAAACTGGCCAAAACTACAGCAGACTTTGTGAACAAGTACATCTCATTTATCATTTTTAACAAAATGATCAATTTCATTGCTGTCAGTTTGAAAAAAAATATTTGATAGATGTATGCTTATTTTCCTGTTAGTTTTATTTAAGGTAACTCACGGATGGTATGAGTTCTTGTCTATTTACATATGAACAATATTAGAGCGGTGGCTATCACCACCTGCGACCTTTGGATTGATAAAACCATTCCATTCAGAATGCTGAAGAAGAAGTGACACATTGAAAATGAATGTTTTTATTAATAGATGTTAGGAATCTTAGAATGAAAAGTAATTACCAGCTGTGTGTGCATTCAGCATGTTGAACTACAAATTAAACAGTTTAGATAAACATTGGGAAGTTTGTTTCATTTTCTCTTGCCAATATCAGGCTATTCAAGGTTCTTAGTATATGTTTGTTTTTATGTAAATGTCACCTTGAGTATTAGTAATATGTTTTTCTTTTTATTGTGTCAATGTTATATGTTACTGTTTTATGTATGTGATTTTCATTAAAAATCAATGTTAATGCAAATTTATCACTCATTTGTTGTTATGATAATGACACCATCATCATCATCATCAGGTACCTTGCCAACTGGCGTGGGCGATCATGCCTCTCCATAATCTGCGATCTCCTCAGCATGTATCAGTTCGTGTGCCGACACACCTCCATGCCATGCAACAAGACTGTCAAGCATCTTCTCTCGTTGTCTTCCTCTATCTCTCCTTCCATAGATCTTTCCAGTGGTCACAACATGTTCTATTTTCCCTCTTCTCATAACATGGTCGAAAAATTATGAATGTCACCTTCTGATGTCTGTGATAAGTTGTCTTCGGGCTCCTGCCTCTTTCAAAACCTCTTGGTTGCTCTTGTTGGCTGTCCAAGGTATTCTAAGCATTCTTCTGTAAAACCACATCTCTGAGGCCTCTAGAAATTGTTTGGCCTGCCTACCGATTGTCCAGGATTCACATATGTTAAAACTGGATGTATGTAGCAAGCAAGAATTCTTTTTCTAACTCTCAATGACAAGGATATATTGCACAAGATGTCTTTCATTTTATAAAATGCAGTTTTTGCCTGTCCTTTTCTGTTTCTTATCTCAGTTATGCATCTTCCATCTGATGTTATCCATGTGCCCAGATACTTAAATTTCTGTACTTGTCCTAAAATAACACCATCAACTTTTATTACACACTTAGGAATCATTTGTTTCTTTGATACCACCATTACTTCTGTCTTCCCATGATTCAAACTGAGGCCCATTCTTCCACTTTCTAACACCACAATGACTATCATTTCCTGTAGTTCTTGTGTCATCAGCATAACTTATATTGTTTATATTGTGCCCACCAACCACAATTCCGGGCATACCAATTAAACATCTCATTATATATACACTGTATATTGAAAACAAATCAGGTGACAGTACACATCCTTGTTGTACGTCCCTCTTTATGCTTTGAAATGTACCTAAACAGTTGTTAATTCTTATAGTTGCTGTTTGCTGCCAATACATATTCTTTTTTATTCGTAGATCTTTCCCATCAATGTTTAATTTTTTTAACAGTTTGATTACTTCTTCATGCTTCACACAGTTAAATGCTTTTCTATAGTCTATGAAGCATATGTACAAATCAGTCTTTACTTCTATAGCTCTTTCTGACAATGTCCTTAGGATGTATATGGCATTGTTTGTACCTTTTCCTTCTACAAATCCTACAATGATACAGCATTTTCTTTTTGTCCAAAATGGTTTTAACAGTTCAAAAGTTGAACTACAGCTTTTTTTTTTTTAATTGACTCAAATTGAGGTCTTCATCACTCCCTCTTTAGCTGCTTCCGGTGTTCAGGGAGCTACAAGGTTCTGTTTCTCACAGTTCTGGCCACTTGATACTGTTGTAGAGTCTCTTTGATATCTTTTCATCTTGTTTTATTGTCTACCTTGGGCTCTACATCTCTCTCCTCTTTTGATGTATGCCTTGTATAATATGGCATAATAAAGCTTTCTCTTATAGTTGGCAAATCATTTCATTAGCTGTTTTTTTTAAATGTAATTAAGTACTGGTTACATACCGACTTTTTCTCTAAAGACTTCAATTCTAATTTGATCTCTTCTGGTCACTCCTGCAGCCTTTCTCTGACATTTCATTTCTATTGTTACTAATCTTTTCAGGTTTATTGTGAGTGACCAAGTATTTTTGATAATTTCTTCATTTCGTTTGCTATTTTTGGTGAATGTTGTTCCAAGATACTTAAACTCAGATAACTGTTTAATATCTTCAATTTTTTCAATGTTGATTCTTATACTATTTGTTTTATATTCTTCATTCATGGATGTGAGATGTTGCAGTTTCATAGATGTGAGATGTTGTTGCAGTTTCATAGATGTGAGATGTTGTTGCAGTTTCATAGATGTGAGATGTTGCAGTTTCATAGATGTGAGATGTTGCAGTTTCATAGATGTGAGATGTTGTTGCAGTTTCATAGATGTGAGATGTTGCAGTTTCATAGATGTGAGATGTTGTTGCAGTTTCATAGATGTGAGATGTTGCAGTTTCATAGATGTGAGATGTTGTTGCAATTTCATAGATGTGAGATGTTGTTGCAGTTTCATGGATGTGAGATGTTGTTGCAGTTTCATAGATGTGAGATGTTGTTGCAGTTTCATAGATGTGAGATGTTGTTGCAGTTTCATAGATGTGAGATGTTGTTGCAGTTTCATAGATGTGAGATGTTGTTGCAGTTTCATAGATGTGAGATGTTGTTGCAGTTTCATGGATGTGAGATGTTGCATTTTCATAGATGTGAGATGTTGTTGCAGTTTCATGGATGTGAGATGTTGTTGCAATTTCATGGATGTGAGATGTTGTTGCAGTTTCATAGATGTGAGATGTTGTTGCAGTTTCATAGATGTGAGATGTTGTTGCAGTTTCATAGATGTGAGATGTTGTTGCAGTTTCATAGATGTGAGATGTTGTTGCAGTTTCATGGATGTCAGATGTTGTTGCAGTTTCATAGATGTGAGATGTTGTTGCAGTTTCATGGATGTGAGATGTTGTTGCAGTTTCATGGATGTCAGATGTTGTTGCAGTTTCATAGATGTGAGATGTTGTGGCAGTTTCATGGATGTGAGATGTTGCAGTTTAATAGATGTGAGATGTTGTTGTTTTATGGCTGAGAGGGTGTTGCAGTTTCATAGATGTGATATGTTGTTGCAGTTTCATGGATGTGAGATGTTGTGGCTGTTTCATGGCTGTGAGATATTGTTGCAGTTTCATGGATGTGAGATGTTGCAGTTTCATGGATGTGAGATGTTGCAGTTTCATGGATGTGAGATGTTGCAGTTTCATGGATGTGAGATGTTGTTGCAGTTTCATGGATGTCAGATGTTGTTGCAGTTTCATAGATGTGAGATGTTGTGGCAGTTTCATGGATGTGAGATGTTGCAGTTTAATAGATGTGAGATGTTGTTGTTTTATGGCTGAGAGGGTGTTGCAGTTTCATAGATGTCAGATGTTGCAGTTTCATGGATGTCAGATGTTGTTGCAGTTTCATGGATGTGAGATTTTGTTGCAGTTTCATGGATGTCAGATGTTGTTGCAGTTTCATAGATGTGAGATGTTGTTGCAGTTTCATGGGTGTGAGATGTTGCAGTTTCATAGATGTGAGATGTTGTTGTTTCATGGCTGAGAGGGTGTTGCAGTTTCATAGATGTCAGATGTTGTTGCAGTTTCATAGATGTGATATGTTGTTTCAGTTTCATGGATGTGAGATGTTGTGGCTGTTTCATGGCTGTGAGATATTGTTGCAGTTTCATGGATGTGAGATGTTGCAGTTTCATGGATGTGAGATGTTGCAGTTTCATGGATGTGAGATGTTGCAGTTTCATGGATGTGAGATGTTGTGGCTGTTTCATGGCTGTGATATTGTTGCAGTTTCATGGATGTGAGATGTTGCAGTTTCATGGCTGTGAGATGTTGCAGTTTCATGGATGTATCTGTTATCAAGGCCTGGTCAGCAAAAAAGAGTGGTTTATCAATATTAATATTTTTGTTCTTGAGCTTAGCAACTTTGCTTATCCCTATATTTCTCTATATGTTACTGTGAATGGTTTCAATGTTAATTTAACTACACACCTGCAAATTCCATATATAGTGGAACCTCGCTTAACGAGCATAGTTCGTTTGAGAATCATACTCGTTAAGCGAAACACTCGTTATGGGAAACAATGTTTCTCATATAAATTAATGTAAAATATAATAATGCGTTCCATGTCAAAAAAAAAGAATACTCACAATGTGCTATGTATAATGTTTATTCAAAGAAAATTATATACATATTGTTAAGGAGAGTGAATCATCTTCATCTTTTCTTCAAACG